TCTTCTTCATTTTAAGATATATTGATGACGTCTGATGACATATTGACCTATTTACAATGTCGATGGTATATACCCAATGGTATTGGAAATTAAGCAAACGGCAGACTCTTTTTCCTACAATGAAACGAACACGGACAGCTTTCCATCCAGCTGATAAACGTGACGATTTCAATTTCGCTATTGTGAATGTTCCATATCTGGAAAATAACCCAATATTTCAAAACCTGAAGGGTTTATATGCCTCTGGTGATTCCAAATTCCCAAGATCTTCATTTTTGCCAAAGATGTCGGCAACTGACATACAAACCCAAAATACGGGATTCCAGAGATGCGTAATGATACAGATTATGTAGTAGTTTTATGGTGGCCATAATGATCACATCGGCATTTTGATCTTGTTATCGACTGGAAAGATTGTTTTTGTAATGTTGAATTACGTCCTATTTACAGCCAGATTCCTTTAAAAACAAAAGCAAACCAACAACCTGGTTAGAGCTTCACTAGTATCAAATGGAAGATATCGAAGCGACATAACAAGTAACAATATGATCTTTACTGTCCTGTTGGCCATTTCATGTATTGAAATATGAAAAACATTCCTCAAACACTGTATATATAACATATTAGACTACTTTTAATTCCATTTATGTCGCATTCGTTGTTGATACATTGTTAATCGTATCGGTTTAACTTGGGGTCATATTGTCACACATTCATATTAGTTTTGAATTTAAGTTCAACTATTTGTTGTTTGCCTGATTTGACCAGAACACTGGTGTTGCTTTAAACATGCCGGTGTACAATTTCACACAAGAATGATTTTCAACACTTCTTTGTGTAGCTTAGCTTGTCAAATGCCGTTGGGCGTAGCTCAATGCTAACATCAAAACTTCAATTCTTGTCACAAGCGATATTACCCATTCAGATTTTAACAATTTATACAAGAGATCAGTACAGGCCATTTGACTTTCCCTGCTTGCAGCTTTCATTCACTGATTTAATGATTACGGAACTTATATCAAAGACGTTTTGATTAAAAGTCCCATAGCGCCCTGGTGATAAACGTGGTGTAGGTTTTACCTCAAACTTTTCATTATCTTGCTGGTATATGGTGCTTATATTTAGACCACAACTGCTGGTTATGTTGAATTTTGATTAGTGATATGTGAAAATGGAGGTATGTCAAGGAGGAAAAAGAAGGTATAATCCATCTAACATCTAAGATGCAATTGTAGCAGGCGTGAAATTCTGGAAATTCGACATCTTTCCTCAGGTGCTTATCGAAGCTGGTACAGAGTGAAAGAAAATAATTTTAGAACAACCCGCAAATAACACGTTAAAAATGATCAGCGATTTACATCATGCGCAGTAAACATATGTAATCGGGAGACATAATTTTCACACGTTATAATGCTCGTTACAAAGGGGCACGAGTCATACATTCATACTATATAATGGGTCTGTCCTAATTCCAATAGTTCAACGAAAATACTTGCATCAAAACATCAACTTTTTTTAAGATCTGAGACTTCAGATGTCCTCCTAATGTTACTAATTGAATTCAACCTTTTATCAATAATGATGATACTAATCATTATCCTCTACGACAAAATAAAACCTTTGGTGTACCTCTAACAAGAACTCTTCGAAAAACACCAGGTTGATTTTAATAGTTATGTCAACTAAGAATCTCTGCTAGTAATTTAAACTTAGTTTATTCCGTTCCCACTTTGCTGATAGGCTGTAATTGCTGTAAGTCAGCCTGTAGATGAATGTACACACTTTTGCCTCCATTATCCTCTATTTACTATTCACAGACAGTCCCTCTTTATCTCCCTTTCTAGTCTAAATGATTATCTACATCGAAATACTCAAAAATTTGATAACACATGATGACAACGTGTAAACCTGTTAATATGTTAATTCAGATTTTCCATTCACTCAATCTTTAAATACTGTTTCAAGATTGGGTATGCTTATTAACTGTATGGACCAGCCACAGGATTGTTAGTGTACTGACTGGTTGAGTCTGTGCCTGCCTCCATTTAAGGGAAATGTTGCACTTAATTTTGACATAATTATAAAACTTAATCATCCGTTGATGATAACTGATGGTGGCATTTTGTTAAAATTTATGTAAAACTGTGCTCTAGATTCCAGTCTCCATGTTATTCATATAATATCATTCCATAAGCTACCGACCATTTGATTGATGTGTCTGCATAACTGTTTGTTATTTTAAGAAGAAGGCTTTCATAGGTAATGATTGTGGCCCCTTTCTTTTCTTTTCTTTGTATTTTGTCAATAAGATTTTGACAGTAAAATATTCAGAATAATACAAAGCATTCTAGTTTTCACGATTTATGTGGTATTCGTGTAATAGATATTCATGTTGTTATAAAACGAATTATTTTTAAAAGGTACGTTAAACGATGATAATTTCACCGCCTGTGAAATTGCTTCAAAGAAAAAGAAACACATTTCACATTGCTGCAAAAGCTTCTTGAAGTTTGACATCTGCAAAGCACATAATATGAAATTGGCACTACCTAAAAGCGAGCGCAAGTTGATCAACAAGATACACATTTTAACAGCCTGATTCATGTCTGCACTGCAGCGGGGTTTTTTTTTTATCATTATTTTTTTTTTTTTTTTTACACATGAGAGAGAGAGAGAGAGAGAGAGAGAGAGAGAGAGAGAGAGAGAGAGAGAGAGAGTGAGAGTGAGAGAGTTTGTGTGTGTGTGTGTGTGTGTGTGTGTGTGTGTGTGTGTGTGTGTGTGTGTGTGTGTGTGTGTGTGTGTGTGTGGCCATGTCAGACTCTGAAAACTAACGTAATGAATTTACAAATATATAAATCATGCTGTATTTTATTCTATATTTTGCCGCTTATATATAATATCTATTCATTATGTTATTGGATTCATTATACTTTATTGATTTGTCCAAATTCTGTTGGCATTTTTTCTTCTAAGAGAGTGGAAAGACGTTATTTATGTTGAGGTACAAATAAAACAAAATGGAGGAATAAAAAAAGGTAAAACCTTGCGGTGTTTAGTGGGTAAGGGCCTCAAGGACATAAGGGATATGTGCCTTAAAGGCCCTTAGTGTAGTGAATTGTATTGCTACTACAGGAAGGAGATTCAATTAGATGATTGTAGGCAGATAGAGTGTATATATATATATATATATATATATATATATATATATATATATATATGCGTATCGCCTGTAGCAGTGTTGTGTCTTTCACTAATGTGGTCGACATGTCTAGTTTTTAATGAATTGATATTTAGTAACTTGTGTAAGTTGTGTATAGACACTGTTTTATAAGAAGAATAACCGGACTGACAACATTGTCTCTTCTGCTGAAAAGCTGAAATGCCGAAAGGCCGTAAAAGCGGACGCTAAACCTGTTAAATAAATGAACAAAGAAAGCGACATATTGGAATCTTGGTTTTTGTTTTCAATGTTACTACCAAAGGCAGATGTTTCTTTAAAGAAAAAAATGTATGAATGAAGCCTTCTAAAATACATCTAGACTCTAAAAATAAATAAAAACTTCAAAATAAATGTACAATTTTTCCCTTTAAGAGTTACAGAGTGGATTATCTTTAGTTTTGCTTTAAAAAGAAATGAGATAGTAGTTAAAACAGGTTTGAATACAAATATAGTTTTAGCCAGATTTGTAAAGGCAGTGCTTATATGTTAAACCAGTTTTTATTATTAAAATCGAGTGTTCTCCCCACCGTTTTCTTTTCTCTTTACTATTGAGAAATCCCTTTCTGTTTAACAAATCATAAAGTACCTTAGAACTTCCAGTTTTTACGCAATGTTGACTAACCTTGGTTCACGATCTGAGATATAGTAATATTGAGATAATTCTACTATAAACTGTCATTCAGTAAAAATAAATTGTAAATCAGTATAAATATTGTATTTTCAAATAAATTGCAAAGAGAAAGTTACTAATATTACATGAACTGCCATTTTCTGAAAACGAAGAAGATAAAACATATATATATGGTTTTCCGATTATTGTGCCTCACATTCAAACACTTATTGTAAGTACATCAAAATGTTGTAATTTTGATGCAATAAGGACACGGGACATATTTCACGTCAAATCCGGACCTTTCGGCTGCATCCGTATAAGAGACGATGTATTTCCCGAAGCTTATATCGGAAATCAGGTATACCGGAGAACAAACGTACTTATCTTGAATGGTATAAATTGTAATTTTTTAACGAAATTTTGGTCATGTGAGTTTCAAACCATTAACATATACGTTAGTTAAATGTATTTTAATCATTTAAGATTTTTAGTAAGTTTTCATTCCCACATGAAAGCTTGAAGATATTTTGCCTGTTAAAATACATTGTTTAAAGTTAATAGTATGGGTAGCTTAAGCCTGGTGGTTTTGAATTATCACACACAATACCATAAAGCGCTCGCTGTGTTCGCTATAAATGTATAGACGTCAATGATTCCAGTGATGTCTTTTGTACACACAAATATCTTTCTTTGTTGAGATTTTCACTTGTTTTTTTTCTACATTTGACAATACTGGAACCAATTAACCACGATCATCATATCTACATATATATATATTCTGTATATTTTACTACTCCATATATGATAATACTCTTTATATATTAATTCATATTACATCCTTCTATGCGTCAAGTTTGCAAGAAAGAGTTTCATACTTGTTATGGTGCAGGAGACATCTGCGAACGTCATTAAAGTATATCTAAATGTAAACCATTGTAAATAGCAAACAAACAAAAACAAATGTTACAAAAAACATTTATTACAGGCGGCAAAAGACCAACAATTAAATAAAATAAAACAAATAACAATTAATCATGTTGAAACAAACGGTTATCAATTTACATTTCGTACATGTATACAGACGACATTTATCATATTTATCTAGACAATCAGTCACAAAATGCTATTTTTCGTCATTTCTAGCAGAATATAACACATATTGATGTATCAAGCGTTCTCTGGAACTTTCGTTTCAGACTCCACAAACAAGACTTTGTGCTCCTTTCCGAATCTTTCATAAGGCACAGGTTTAGTCACGCGAATAGACAAATCCATATCTTCTCGCCCGTTTCTCTGGGGAGTGACCAATATGACAATACAACCAAGCACACACGCCACGAGTAATGACCATTCTAACCACGTGTTACCTGAAATATATATACATGTTGAACGTTATTTGAATATCTAATAAACATCCCATAACAATATATCCTGATATACATAGTAACGAAATCACTTTCTTACAGTTAAGTGGCAATTTACCATCTAAATGTAAATTAATATATTACTATAACAAATACGGATGAGTCTTTTTTCAATAACAATGCATTAAATTTCAAAGTACTGCTTATTGTAACTAACATTTTATTGGAAATCATTTTCTCAACAGACTGTCCTCCGGCTGTGAAGTTTAATCCGTTTCAATTTTTGAAAAATAGATTAACTAATACATTATACGCAGCGATTGAACTAATACTGAAAATCTGCTTTCATTTTAATAGAACAAGCTATTGGAAGCACATCAAAGATCAATCTGTGGATAGTATGTTCAATTACAGCGCAATACGGATACATTTGTAAGTGTGAAAGCTTGCCCGCTCTCACTGATTTGTTGTATTAACATATTAACAGATTATTTTACTGACGAGTCCTTGAAGGACAAAACATCTATATAATGAAATTTACTTCATTTCGAACTCTAAACTGGTATTGAAAAGTGTAATTCATTTGTTTGTGTATCAAATCTTCGAGATTGCAGTTAGTGGGTGTGACGAAACCTGCATCCAATGTTTTAGTTCATTACAATAGAAACACAGTTCAGCATATACATATTCTACTGAAATTATCGCTTCGTAGGTTTCAGTTTTTGGGCCCTTAACATCACTGACGCGTCCTGGAAGGACGGAACAGCTGTATGATAGTTTGTGATTCTTATTATTTAAAGTGTCATTTACAACTCAATAAATTTACAAGGGATGTAATCCTCTCGTGTTCAGTGCGTAAAACTATGTTAAAATGTAATGTGTGCCATGATATATTGATACATGGATGCAATTGTATATTAAATTACCTTCAAACACGAAGAGAGACAACGGTAATGTATACAGAATGCCAGCCAACGTTGTCACAATGGCAGATATTCCAACAATGATACCCTCTGGGATTGGAAAAGCAGCGTTACATATTTGTTCGTAAAGTAACGGTACACAACCGTTGAGGAAGGCACAGGCAAGGATCGTCGATACGTACAGCTGTTCTAAAAACAGAAAATCAGAATGTTCTGTACATTCTTGTATTTTCCCTACATGGTTTTAAATCATCTCTTTTCAAATATGGAAAATTAAGCAGTATTTATCATTGCCTATAACCAACTTCTATGATAAATATTAACAATTTCTGTATTGTTACTCGTGTCACTTACAATGTCCATGCAATTTATGTCTATTTATTTAGTAAATGTAAGTAAATTTAGTATATGTACATGCGTATATGATAAATGACATTTATCTAAAACATTGGCCATATGTTAAAGACAATCTGTATTTTAGTTTGGGCTTAATTTTGTTTGTTTGTTTTTTTTTTTTTTTTTTTTTTTTTTTTTTTTTTTTTTTTTTTTATGTATTCAGGAAAAATATTGAACTTTATTTTCTCAACAGGATACATAGGAATGTTCACATCGTCTATATACAATTTATTCTCAAAAGTCAGGCCTATAGGGAAAATGACTGTACCTGTCTCTTATTCAAGATACATCATCGAATCACATCAATATGTTACTGAACCAAGAAGATTAATTTATCAACGAGTTCTAGTTGATATAAAAATGACGATAACGGGAATAGCCACCATGCCTTTGGTACAGTTCTTGTGTCCGTAATCTCATACTATTGACCAGACGCCGAAGCTTATTCGGAGGAAACCTCTGTTACTACTCAATCAATGCAGCTAAATTTCGAAGGGTCTTATCACGGTATTCTGCCCATTTCATTTTCGACATGATAAGGACATACAAGAGAAGCTTACTGTTCAGAGAAAAGCATCCCATAATGTGATTCTGATGGTATGTCGTATTACAAAACAAGAACCTGCTGTCTGTGTACTATGTAAAAAGCGGCTTTCATCAGACCATGGCGCTCTAAACCAAGACCTAATATTGCACGCTGGTGATCACGTGTCAGTTGCAGTATTTGCTTGTTTGTGCCCTCTAGTCAGCAGAAGGCGTTTTACTGGTCGGTAAACACAAGCTTACGCATGGGAGAATGGGGCTCATCTTGCCTATCTATATTTTCTCTAGTTGTAGTCTTTCGAGGTGGAGTAACTTGCCTGTACGTCATACCATAATAAACCATTTCAGAAGTCTGCCAACTTTCATCCTTTGTCAATTTTCAACGTACCATTTCTAAACACAATTTGATCACGTGTATGATTTACCAGTACTTTATGTGCAAATGCTACTTTTGATGGCAAAACAAACTTGTATTTTTTGGAGTAAAGGGTACCCGAGTTTAATCCCGGTTATCACTAAATTTGTTGTATCGCTTTGTGGCAAACGGCACCAAACCAAAACGAGACACTGCACTGAGTACGAGAAGGCTTATTTTAACAAAAGGAAAAATTAGTTTTCATCAAAATTTTCAAACTGAAATTGATTGTCCCTTACCTATGGCCAAGTGTTATATGTGATGTATAGGGGTGAGGTAGGGCATATGTAACGAGTTGACGATATGTATTCCCAGTATCACCTACCTCTGCTAAAGGCGATGTACTGACTACACAGCAGCGACAACCAAAGGTACATAACAGTGGCAATTACTAACATAAACATTAGGATCGTCTTCGACTTTCGAGCGCACATGTCTGAAAACCTAAATATTGCATCCAAAGGTTATTTTTATTCCATATAATACACATTTTCAAGAGTTCGCATGGGTAATCAAAATGGAATTAGATAAACGGTGCAATTGACAATTTATAGTTCCCGAAGTGAAATAATGAGTATGCATATTAGTGCATACAATCAAACATGGGTAACTCAATTCAAACTATAGAAATACAAAATAATGCTAATAAGGTAACTTCATATCTGATAAATGCTTATTTATCAATACAATAATAACAAATGAAATAATAACAAAAATCAAAACAACTACCCGAATATATTAAAGAGCAATCTTACCTTGCACATATAAATCCTATAACACTGCTTGCTATGAGACTAGAAAATCCAAGCCATCCAGCTTCTTTCTGTATTGAATACAACATTCGAAGTGAAAGGCAATTATACTCCCTGATGGCTTTAGAATGATACACCATTTTAACCTAATTTAAATATCATGTATTTTCCGATATCCGGGGATGTAGTACATTCTCTTTTATTAAAAGTTAGGGCTATCGAAATGAGAGAAAATGAACACTGTACCGATCGTACTCTTATGAAACATTGGATGGTAGACATATAGCCCATGTTACCAGTGTTATTGGTTCATTCTATGACTACTATTTAATTAGATCACAGGATTAGGAAATACTTAAAACAAACAGTTATCACCATGGCAGTAAGGTACTGTTAGACCATAAGGTTGCTCTAAAATGATTATGAATATCATACTTGTGTATATCGAGGCTTGTTACCTGGGAGACACCGAGATGGCCAAACGCTATTTCAAATATGGCAATCCATGTGGAATACATCCCGACCACGGCACCAGTAAAAAGTATTAGCAAACACAGGAAACCATTCCTTATTAGAAATAAAACATAAATGGTAAACAGTCAAAACAAATGAAAATAGTACGATATTCATTTTTTAAATGCAGATGACCCAACATTTGCCCGTGATTTCTATTTGAGTTTCGCATTGATATCTTATTTGGAATACATATGATGTAACAACGACAATGTATTTGTGAACTTTTAATCACATTTTCGAGTGTTTGAGAAAATATAGCGAGGATGGAATGTTAGGCATGACGAGAGGAATCCATTCATAATAATAGTCAATGATGTTATTTATGAATCATTCTTTAGAGGTATTGATAAAACAACCTCGGTATCCTGGCTATCAAAAATCAATGATTTATTAATGTTTACGTCATCTTTAAAGCCGACTTCATACGTTCGTCGGTTTACCAGAGAGATATCGCTTTGATAAAAAAAAATGCTCACAGAAAGTTCTCAATCTTGTTTGTGTTTAAAATAATCACAAAACATATCTACAGCAAACTGATGAAATACAATCAGGAACAATTTCTACTGTTGTCTTTGAATATAATGTCATTTCTACAATAAAGGAACAGCTACATAATCCAATGGTTCCCAAAATAAATGTGTATTTTTATTACTACCATGTACATTTACATTTAAACATATCAAAAATGTATTAATTACAAGGTCTTTCTAATGTATGTCACTTTGTACCGTTTCTGGACGCCCAGCCGAGGTCTGAATTCATTCGTTTTATAATGTAATCAAAACAAATCGCCAGTGAGATGTTGTGTAGTGCATCACGTTATTTCATTTCTATTTTATGTTTTCGATTCGTTGGATATAAATCTAATTGCTAATGTTAGCAGAGTTACGGGACTGGATGTTGCTGTTTGTGTTTTTTTGTTTTTTGGGGTTTTTTTTTTTTATTGAGAATTAATGCCGGCTTTCCTTTCATAAGAAATAAAACTGTAAAAACTTGCCGTTGGTTTGCATGTGTATTGTTATTGTTAGTTGTCATATTCCATTTAATAGATACATGCTCAGAAATAGCCTAGATTCAAATTCGTTCGTTGATTCAGGTGTGTATCTAATCGAAACATTTATGTTTAATCAGAAAATTTCTAACTTTCAAAGAAATACATAAGTACACATCTATATGTTATCACTACTAAAAAAGCTCACCAATTGCATTCATTTATAATCTGATGTTATCTAACTAAACAATAAAATATATCAGTTCGAAATTAAGTATAACAAACCTAATACATAAAGGTTATTCCATCAATAGGCGACGAAATAAAAAAAAAACAGTCACACTTAAATGTTCTGTATGACATTAACAATACATTATAGTCGCATTTCTTGCATCTTGGAGATAAATATAGAGATATCTATGTATGATTTACTTATAGGAGTGCAATGACGTACTTAAATTTTCGACAGACTTTCAACCCCTTTGAGATGACTTTTCAATTTGATATGATGCAGAAAATAGCAATCCTTTCTTCTATTCTACCTTTTGACGTGTAAAAATACTCTGGTATATCCCATCTTAACTGCGTTTGCACTATAGGAAGGAGGTGAGGGTGGAACGTTCGGAAGCAGAGTTACTCCAACTACCACGAGAACTGCTGCAATCACCGTCTCTGAAACAGTAATACAACAAATTCTAACACTATTGAAATGTTGTTGAAAATAAAATAAAAAGTATGCATTTAGAATGCACCATTTTGTTAATAAAGGTATTTTTCACATTAATTAATCAGACAAAACGAGTCAGTATTGGCACAGCTGTTGAAAGTGCATCCGTGCCATGTACAGACATAAACCCTCACACTTACTTAACGCCAAAAAGTAATATCAACAGCTGCAAACCTTTTAATGATATTATTACAGACAATCACATGCGTTTAACAGATATTAGTGTAATCATTGTTTACCTATGTACGTCATTGTCATTGTTTCTTCTTGAATCTTGTCTTTGTTCAGTACTGAAAAAACGAGGCTAGCTTTATTGAGTGATTCAATCAGAAATATTGTTATGAAATCATATTCTGTTTCAGAAAAATCACCAGAAATGAATGACGCTTTATAAAGCATAGTTAAACAATAATTTGTTTATCTGATTAGTTATGTAAAGAGGCAGACAAGGTTAATAGCCATTGTATACCAGTGTAAAGTTATCATCTATATAGTCCTTCAGGTTTAATATGTATCATCAGACGTAACAATCAGTGATATATGGTCGATAATCATATATTGCGTGCAATGGAAAACATCCAAATTAAAACAATTACTCTCCACTGCAGAATGTTAGCTGGCAGATAATACCAATGTTTACACTGGAAACATTTCTGTGCTATGGAAACGCATTTACAAGGAATTCGAGCCCCTTACATTTCCACATGTACTGTATGCCTGGTCATGTCACATTGAAAAAGTATTTTAATTGTATATCTAACTTTGTGAATTCTACTTTTACACTATTCTGCATTTTGTTACATGTCCGAACAAATTCTTTGAATGAATTGTAAACAACAATCTAGTTTATAGATATAGCTTGATATAGCAATGTTATGATCAATTGTTAAACTATGAAAGTATGTCTGAACTGTTTGAAATTAAAACGAAAAACCAACGGCATTTGTAGAATAATCTTTGACGTCGTGTTATAAGCATTTAATAATTAACAACAAATTGGTACTTATTTGAACGGGCTGTACCACGCAGTATTCTACGGAGATCTTGGTTCATCATATCACTACCACGTTAATCATCAGTTACATATTTTTTGCCATGACATACGTGTCATTTAACCTAGCTGTAATTGACTAAAAGTTCCCATCGTTTCCATTGTAACATCATAACTTCTTTGTGTCATGGAATTTGAGAAAGTATTTATGAATAATTTATAAACATCACGCTACATTTGTTTCCACTTCATATGAGATTCATGAAACTTGTCTACTTAAAGTTAAATTTTGAAAGACGAAAGATATCAATGTTACAAATACAAAGTCACATACTGATAAAAATCGATAATACAAAGTCACATACTGATAACAATCGATAGATTTTGATATGTCGAAGAGGAAGTCTAATTCTGATGGGTTGTTTCTTCAAATTTACTGCTCGTACAGCTTTCTTATTTCTATTATTTAAATGGTAAAATATAGCATACGAATACATACCAATTTTACCAGAGCTACCATTGGTCAGGGTGGCAGCGGTACTAAGATTGTGATCGGTATAGTTAATGCGCTCCCTGCAATTTAAATGTACATGAGACGTTCATTCATTAATCTGGATAACTTTGTAAATGTATCTTTTTTATAGCCTGTAAATAGTTGCACCCAAAAGAAAATTCCTATCAAAAAGTAAATGCAATTGATACATTTTGACATATTATATTACAACCATTCATTACGTATATACCAGCACCAAACAGGAATTCCCGAGATTTTCAAATAGTTCATTATTTTCACGATAGCTGTTTCGGGGTATTTTAGACATGAAATAATTTATTGCTTTGGGAAATGTTAATAGAGGACATTATGAGTTTTCTGTAATAAATTTCGATTCAAACATTCTGTCTGCTTTAGCACAAGAAGTGACAAGAAGTTTATATGAAAGACTTACGTTTGGTTAGTATTCCAGTAAGAGGAGACATCCTCACCAAATACGGGTGTTGATACAAGTAGTGGATCTATGAAGAAAATGCACGATATCAGTTTTCAGAAAAATATCGAAACGTCTACGGTTCAAACATAGTTGTGGCTTCAGGAGAAGCCATAAGCACTTATTTTGTACTAATGATAGATAACATTGCTGTTATCACATGCTCAATTCATTAAATGTGTTTTTAATATGCAGTGATCAGAAGATATATCATGATACTTGCCCATTCCACAATGTCATATTGAATAAGATATGTTTAAACTATTTCCCAATTATAAGTAGCTATCTAAAGTTATAGAATTAAGTTTAAGACATTTTAGTTTATAACATATACGTTATAAATATATGTTAAGAGAAGTGGTCTCAAAAGAGCTCCCTCGACAAAGTCAGATGAGACAGGGAATTAAATACGTACGGATAATGTAGGCCATCCCATATCCAAAATATGTACACATAACGGTAATAGATGTGGCCGTGGCACGTTCTTTTGGTGGAAACCACGCTGCTGACATGGCGACTGGACCACTGTATGCAATCCCCATCCCACTACCGACAAATATCTGCCCTAACAATGCTGGCCTATACAGAGAAATATATCAGGAAAGAAGACTTAACTATAGGACTGATATATCAATTTATAACACATCATAGTAATTAGTGGATACAAAATTAGCTGTAACATTAATAGTGGTAATTGTCGCTTATGAATGGATGCAGAACATTTATCAACATAGCTCACTCGGACAAAATGCTGTTAATTGACAATATACTAACAAAATGACACGGTTTGTAGAATCACATCGATCACATGTCGAGTACCAATATGTTTCGGTGAGCTCGTAATTCACATCACAACTTTAGATTCAATATTTTAACAAAGCAATGACAATTCAGTTAAGTAACATCATCATGTCAGATTTAAATAAGAAAAAAATATACAAACCACGTTGAAGTTGATTGATTTATGGCGCAACGAAATCCATATCCAGCGAGTACCATAGTCGTGCTTGTAATCATAGCATAACGGATCCCTTTAGGAAACAAAAAGAACGGTAGCTGTCATAGAATCTTCCTAGAAATTAACAAAATTTCGATTTCGTTCCTTATTAGGAATTCGTTCTTAATTCATGATGTTTCTAACTGCTTTTTTTGCGATGATGAAATATTTTAGTGTGAAATATTTGCCCTTTGTTTCATTGACATCGCAAGATATTTCTTTGTGTAAATGCAAGACAATGTGATGACGCTGTCCACTTAAGACCCATCACTGGTATATATAATTTGGAATTTTAGGTCAAGCGAATAAAATTCCACGTCAAAAGTTAAACAAGAAAGATAATTGCGTACGTGGGAGACTTTCAATAATGAGGAAACGTTACACAGACATATTATCACACCAAATAATTAATTTCATGTATCATGATTATTCCAGTAGTGAGCAGATCTTATATCCAACTTATGCTAAGCATTGTACGAAGTTGGTGAAATCAGGTAGTAAGTAAACATAATGATATAAGATAGATGTAGATTTCAAACATACAGGTCAACCGGAATTTATAAATGAAAACATATTTGTTTTTAATATGTGCATATCTCTTGTGGGTTAGGGTCGACAATAAGAAAAACCTTGGTAGAACTTCATCTCAGAATTCTACATGTTCAGCACACTGGGACTACTGGTCATTGAAAAGAAATCGTTTAAAAAACTTTTAAAAAACATTTAGTCCCTTTGACCTTGAAAGTGGATCAATATCATTTATTAGCGCAATATCAGCACCCTTGCCCTTTTGGTTATTAAAAGAAATCATTTTAATGAAAAGTTTACGCATGGCGAACAGCGCACGACGATGGACGAAACACAATGGGTCAGGATGACCTAAACATTAATGCCAAAAAGAACTATCGTAGAAAGCAACTCTCCATGTTTTGACTGAAAAAAATGAGAAAATTGTGATGAATTAATCAGTATTACTACAAGTTCCACTTACCTTTCATATCTGCCAGGTAACTTAATGGAATGATACTACAAAAAGCCCCTATTCGTCCAACCGTGAGGATATCTGCTATAATGGAATTGTCCCAGCCAAAACCATACTCTACTGACTGACTGATAGGGCCCCATGTATTCCAACTGAGTACGATGAATACCATCACCAGGCTGACGTACATAAGAACCCACCAACGGCGGGCGTACGCCTTTGGTTTCAGGAGCAGTAATGGCTTCACCTCATCCATTGCTATGAATTCTGAAAAACGTAGATTACTTTCGGTTATTTACCATGTTATTGTTACATTGTTGTAACTATGAATCATCGGTCGGGGTGAAATGTGAAATTTCAAATCAATTAAAGGGAGGATAAGATTGAGACAATCAAATTGAAGTATTCTATTGTAACTAATGCAAGAATGAATTATTCGATATTAAGGCGTAAGACATGTAAATGACTTATGCTTTAATCGACAAGCCTAAAGGACATCGTTGACAACTGACGTTTGTTCTATCGTTTTAAAATAAGTAAATATGTTAACAGTAACGTTGTCAAATCAACCTGGCAGTATTCTATTTGCATGACATCAATGGTCTTTACAATGATAAACATGTACCTTGTCGAAATACTTACTCTGATTTATCCCTCAGGTACAAACGTGGTTATTTGAATGACAAGTTACTTAAAAACTACTCAACTGATTTTTCGTGGATCTATTTATACTAAGACTTCTCTACAGAATAGTGTTAGTTATTATTAGCCCAAGTCTTTGCTGGAACAGGAGAAGAGCAGTTATAACTGGTTACGCAAAAACAGGATAGCCATATACCTCAACAATAACAATGAGAGATTATGTATATGAGGTTGTTTTATCTGTAATCAGACATCTGAACATGTGACCTTGATACTGCGTGATGTGGTAGCTCTCTAGAGATACAATTCTCTGTTTTGGGATTACTTAAAACTTCTTTTTACAAGTGCATAAATAGATTCATCATATATGGAGTATGGATTCGATAATTAAGGCAATGTTAAGATATTAATTATACTGAAAAAAGAAGACTTTTCATGTTAAAATCTCCTAAACGTTGTTAGTTAAGTTCCATATTGGAGAAACAATATTAAAGATAATAAAATTGTAAAGCAAAAGTACAAGTATCATGTCATCTCAAATTTAACCCATTTGCTGATATCGTTGAAGTGAAAAATATTAAGTACGTGCATTTTATTAAGGTTTTCGTCGTATTCTGGCCAATAATTTCTTTTTGAGATGTATTAACAAGTAAGTCTACGTTATTAAGTGTTTTGTCTGAAACTGGTCGGAAAATATCCTGAATATTATATATAAATATTGGTTCCTGGAAATTATAGAAATGCCTTGCCCATCTATTTTACTTAATGAATATCAGAGGATGGTTTCCTCTCTTTTAATAGCCTTAAAACCACCCAATCATTTTTATAATGGTGCATTTGTAAGTGTTAAGTTGTTTCATCGAGGTGAACAAATGATTGATATGCAAGCCCGCAGGGCAATTGATTTTTTTCGATTGCTTAAAACAATAAGGATGAGAACAAGAACCAACGTAATGTACATAATCTGTTCCTGAGAAGTGGTCTATCACGCTTAAGCGTTTTCAAAAGAAACACCTTGCTTTTCTTAGACGTTCTGAAATATGTTATCAAGTGTGATTGCATGAAAGGTGTAGATAAAGTTCAATAAGTTTCTGGTTTTGAAGCGCACATCAACTGCGCTGTAGCATAAAATACATGCCAGTGTGAGATATGATATACAGATACATATTGGGTCTTAAGGCACACTGAAAATAGAAATTTGGATTTTATTTTATTAAGTGGTTTTTTTTTTTACAAATTAGAGGACAACACATATTGACTGAAATATTTGCTTTCAGCCAAAACCCCTAATACGATGTTTAAATAGTTCCATGTCATGTACTTGTGTGTATATTTATCAAAACGATAGTCTTTTCTATATTCGCGTTTGTACAAACACGTGAATAAAACAGTAGCATTTGCAGTCTTGACAAGCATTACTTATATAGACATACTGCTCGAATAAAATTTTACAGCCAACGCAAATGTTTTCCAATCACAGCTCTTATTTGAACAAATACATCCATGTAGTTTTAATGACTTTCAAAGTCACGGGGTTTAACCCTAAATATAGGTTGTGCCTACAACCCGCTTTGCATTTACCAAGGTCCAGACGAAACTGGTTTATACCGAATATGTTTTGATTCGTCAAGATTTGTGGCCTATCCTTCATGTAATGATGAGAATCGTGCCCCTATACATATTGTATGGCACGTTCGTTCTAGTACCATGATATCTCCCGCATCTAGCCACGTGACATTGCGTCAAATGACATCTTACAAGTGATTGCATGTATAGTTTAACCTTCAGTTCGGATGCTTTTTTTTTAATATTAGTTGTCACGTTATATTTCTTGATACAAAATGATCGAGGGTGCTTAGAATAATCATCCAATCATTATCGTCGTGGTTTCGTTAAAACAAGAGGAAAAATATTAATTCCATAATATAAATCTATTAATCCCAATCTAGATATTGACATTTTTTTATCATTTTGGGATTATTGTAAGTCATATCTTTAAGGCTTCATAATTTAGACCATAAGCATCATTGATGAGTTCTAGAGGGACGAAACAGTTGTGTGATGAAATTTTATTCCTTTTTTGGCTCTGCTGTACCTAAATATAAACTTGTATAAAAAAAGGTGCAATTCAGTTTTGTGTCTTCTGTGCTCCCCATATCATAAACATAAATTCTTACTTATCGTTTAAGAAAAACAAGAAAAAACCAACATGTCAACACAACCACAATCCAAACTCAAATTCAACAAAACCGGGGCAAAACATGAACAAAAGAAAGACATGGAGACTCCCGAAAAAAGTACAAGGAGAATGAAACCAGGAGTTCCGAAAAGTAAGCGTTTTCTTCGATGAAACCTGCCCTATAAACCTCGATCAATCCAAGTTAGTAATTCAACGTTCTTAAATTGGAACAAGGTATACAACAGAACCAACAGACAAACTAACGCGCATCAAGCACGTCCAACTTCATATCGCTCAAAGAAATATAATATTTCTTAATGCGATTACTATGACGACCGTGATAATCGTGATAATGGGGACAGGCCCTTGAATACAGAATGAACAGTGACATGTAAATACCATAGGTTGGAGGCGTAGGGATAATGTTATTCCGACATGAAAAAATTACAATAAGGAAATTGAAATCATCACGCTTCTCATACAGCTTGGTGGAAAGCTGTCCATTTTGGTTCCTTGTAGGAAAAGATCGCGATAAGCGGATGATTTCAAGTTCTAGTGGATATATACGACAGGTGTGGTCAATACATTCCTTCCTATTAAAGACAAGACGTCATCAATATATCTGAAATTGATAGTAAACCACTTTTCAAGTCGTTGTGACATGTTTTGATTATATTTTCGATATATTACAACAGACAGAACGAATGTGTTCTTTCAGCAAAGAATGGAGTATGATAGTAGGGTAGGAAAATCATATGTTCTTGTAACGGGAATGTTTTTAACAGAGTAAGAATTATAAGAGAAAGTTTACTATAAAAGCAAAACACCAAAAACAAATAAACAAAACAAACAAATAATTATTCCTGTAGGCTACCGCTTCACTAAAATGATTCAATTGTCTTCTTCTCTTTTGTTCCTACAACTTTGCCATTCTTTTAAGTAATCGGTTATTTCCGTTGGTTCTGTCCGACCCTTACCTTGTCAAACTACAACACGTTTATAACGAACCTCTAGGGACACATATAACGAACTTTGGCAAACAGTCACGCATAATTCGTTATAGGAATTGTACATGCAATAAAAATAAAGGAGTCTTATTTCATTATTATATTTCATTACATGTATACTATGTCCACATAAACAACAATTCACATTTCTTCGGAAAAACTCGAATAGTTACTTGAAAAAATCACAAATAACAGTTTGTTTTTTGTTACTGTCTGAGATCTTGTTAAGGGTCTTTTGAATGGTATGTAATGCATTCAATTAAAATTGTGCTCAGTTTTGTTGCTGGAATTTCGAAGCTATCTGCAATATCCTTTTTAGCCTTTTCTCTATTGTCTACTTCACAAATAATTTGGTATTTGGTTCCAATTTTTAACACTATTACAAAGTATGTGTGTACACAAATTTGGATCATTGTGAGGTGAGATTGTATAGTTGTATGTGATTATGGAGAAAAACTTGAATAAAAAAAATCAGTTCAGTAACTCAAAACTCAAAAAACAATAGAACGCTGGTACGTATAATAACAACTCACTTTATTCGTCAATCTTACATGTACGTAATTGAAACTTACCTGGACACGGGTGTCGATACAGGACACACGACTTACTTCACTCAGGTGTCACGACTGGCCGAGGCCGCTACGTTATATGGTTATTAATTAGCACTGATATTCACCTGAGCAGACCCAAAAGCTGCTACTTTATAGACATTAATTCGCTATGTGAAAATCGTTACATATGTTGGTTATAACATATAAATGATAGGGCGATTGACGGGGAATGAAAAAGACTACTTTATAACCGTTAATTCGTTATAAGCGTGTTCGTTATAAACGTGTTTTACTTTACATGAAGGCACAGGTGTGCTATATCAAAAAAGGTACAACTCATACATACTTTTAGCATCTGGCCATACAAGCTTGCAAGAACTTTTACTTTAATCCATTCAAACACGCTGCTGAACAAACATGTCAATAGTAGACCAACTTGTATGAAAAAATGTTTACCACAAATGACAAATAAAGTTTGAACAACATTTGAAAAACCTTCATTTTGCCATCTCATTATAATAGCAAGACACTTGGATTTTAAATGATTTAGTTGTTTAAAGATTATACTATGAGTGAAAGTGGTTAATGTAATTCATTTGCGCAAGCTTTTCAGCTCTTTAACCAAGCATGCTACAATCGTAAATAAATATCTTTTATCTTTGTCTCTTATTTACAGAGAAATAATTTGATGTTTAAAAAGATAGCTGACGTTACTCTGTGAAAGGGTATCAGTGTCATTCATTTGAAAGCACTCGTTGCAGGCATAGTATCTTGATTCTTGGTCAATCTTATATGAAGACATCTTTCAGAAATATAAAGATTTTCACTGAAGTCACATGAAAGAGTGGAAAAAAATTGTGTTCATCCTGGCATGTTGCGGCAAAACAGGTTAATACTGAACCTTTTATTTATATTTATAATTACACACGTGCGTATAGATACCGGTGTATATATCATGCTTAAGTCACGGTTAGTGTTGTTCCATATATCCATATATATATTGAAACAAAATATCAAAAGAGGAACAGTGAACTGTAAACAAAAAAATACAGAAATGAAGATCAGAGCAAAGAGACAGGGTCAAATAGTTGATAGTGCTTCACCGCTTGAGCGTGTATGCTTCCAACCACTAAGGGAAGAATATGTTATCTTTATCTATTATAATGACTGTCTTTGAATGGACATTGAGGGAGAAAATGTTGCCGACAATGTTCTTCCTATTTTCCTTTTTGTATACTCTTACACATATTGCATATGACTATATGTTTTAACTAAGCTGACCTGCGTAGCTCAGGTATATAAAACTCTTAAGGCGACAGAATTTGAATGTCGATGAAGTGATTGTTTATTACGTTTATTAATGTATTCCTTGTATATCTCGTTTGTCGATATTTATCATTTCTATTTATTTAATTGGCCATTCAAGGTTTTGTAAAGGGGGGAGGGTTCCTTTTATCATGTGATTTGCAGATGTGAGTTTCGTAATCGAACAAAATTCATTTATAAATAGTGAACTGTTAAACACTATAAATCAGTATAAGTATGTAGGTTTGAGAAGTGTCCTAAACAAATTGAAAGTTAAATGAATGAATGAAAGAATAAAATGTCAACAGTCATCTGTTGAAAGGCTCAGTTTATTGGCACAAAAGCCAAGGTCATCTTTGTTTACATGCTAACAGTGCAGTATGACAATTTGAAACGGAATTTGAATAAGCAGACAAACGATCATGGTGACTCATATGTGATTTAAGTAAACGGGTTTAATTGATTAAGATATCAGAGACAAGAAATACAAAAGGCGCTGAAAACCTGTTTATCATATATTTACGCAATTCACGTTTGTTGTAGTTGGTGTGGAATATTCATCAGGTTTCGTATGACTAGTTTGTGAATAACACATATCTATCCAAATGTTTAGAGCGCGTTAATGCCCTAGTGGAACATATCTTTCCTCCTGTCATTGCTTGGTCAACTTCAAACTAGCAATAGCACTATAGTGCAGTAGTATCAATTTATCAACGTAACGTGGTAATATGCCAACGTTTTTTTTTCAGTTGTATGTTTCTGATATAGCGATACCTCCTTACCTCTTTTCCACAAACCAGTTATTCTTCTCGACTGACGGAACGAAAACGTTTGTCAAACAGGTTCCTGGTCAGTGTATCTTTTAGTTGTCATGTAAAGTTAAGTGTGACAAGATTACACGTAGAGGTTGTGAAAAACAGGCAAAGCATCAAAATTGTAAAGTAGTACTAATTTAAACGTGCGTCGCTACATATTGTCCAGGTGAGTTGAAGTAAATGCTAAATTACAGAACATTAATTAATAACCAATAATTCGTTCTAAAGTTTCTTCGTCGGAATTAGAATCATGCAATGAAAACATAGACAAGATCTCTGACAACAACACATCATGTATTTAAACACTTTGACGAAAGTTTACAAAATAACAAGTAAAACAAATAGCATGTAGTTCAACATATTGACGCAAACAATTTAAAAAAGATAGCAATAAAAACTATGAAAATACACGTATGATAATGAAAAAAAAAGTAATTTAACAAAAACATTAACAAAACAATCATAGCAACCAATTACAACAATGTCTTAAAACATAGCATGAGAAAAAATGAGTTACATAAATTACTAATTCTTACTTCGAAATATAACATATTTTACGGCTCAACACATAATGATGTAGGGTCTATTTCAATATAAATGTCTAATGTCCTACTTATCAACAGAGAACAAAATTTTAGCTTTTATCAGGCATTTTCAGTATCTTTTTTCTCTGTAACAAGGAAGTTATTCTGATCTTCTCCGAATCTTTTATAGTGAGTGGTCTTAGTCACATGAATGGACAAATCGAGATCGCTCCGTCCATTCCTCTGGGGGGTGATCAGCACTACGAGACAACCAATCACACATATCACTAGTATTGACCATTCCAACCATGAGTTATCTGAAAACAGCAAAAGTAAATATCTTTTATAATTTGTCCTCTGAATAGATTACCAAAAAGAAAAGTTTTGAGTGTTTTGGTTTTTTTTTTTTTTTTGGTTTTTTTGGTTTTTTTGTTTTTTGTTTTTTTTTTATTTGTTTGTTTGTTTTTTTTTTTTATTATTATTTTATTTTTTTTTCTTGGTGGAGTGGGGGTCTACTTAAATCTGAAGACTCACACTACTATCACCTGGTCATTGAACCTTTCGACGATATATATCAATAGCCTCTCTCAAAACGTGTATCTTTGTAGTTCGGTACATGTAAATTCCAATATTTTTGAATTTTCAAAACCAATCAGCAAATGTGAAACATGTACTACACATCATATCTTGTTCAAGCATTTCTGCTAATATCTGGCAACATTTTTCATAACTATGTGAGTTCAGTGTGTACACGTTCATAGTGTTAAATGAGCGAAAGGCAATGACCTTATGTTTATAATTTTTGTTACTGATGTACATATGTTACTTGTTTAACTTATAATCAGTTTCATGTACACAGTTTCCTCTTAGCAAATGTTTCTGGATTTGGACCTATTGTTTGGTTTTAATTACAATCGCTAACCACGAATCTAATAACAGATTGGGCAAATAGAGCGCATTACCGTATATTTCAATAAAGTATCATACTTCATCCATTTCATATGGGATTGGTTTTAAGGATACATTGAAAGGCGTCAGTCAAACCTGGTCAATTAAAATACACGTGCCTTCAAACTCGACGAGGGAGATTGGCAGTATGTAAAATATGCCTCCTAGCATTGTTATAAGTCCAGATATTCCAACAATGATACCCTCTGGAATAGGAAAAGCGGCATCACACATCTGTTCATATAGTAACGGTACACAACCGTTGAGGAAGGCACAGGCAATAACTGTCGATGCATACAGTTGTTCTAAAACAAAAATAGGACTCACTTAAATAACATATTACCTATCTATAGCAAAATACGAAAAGTTTATTAATGTTAGAAAAATAGCTTTGATCGTGATAAAAACTAAGCTTTATGAAAGAGATGATTTCAAATGTTTTCGACCTTTGTAATTGCCAAGAGTTAGTGGTTTCGTGAAATTTAGAGGAAAACCTTCATTGGAGACCTTGTTTTTTTCTACTCTTGCAGTTCCATATCCAACTAAATACCTGTAAATGTGGACGACCAAAGGTTTGGTATCGAGTGAAATAATTTAAAAAGAAAATAATGATCATTCAAGCGTATGTGATCAACGAAAACTATAAGAACTTGTAGGAACAACTTATTTGTAGATACACTTAACAAAATGTTTTTTATATCAAAGAAAATTCAAGCTGATTGGGATATGAGTAGTCTTCATTTAAATGACGATGAGTATCATTTAAAAGATGTTTAACGGAATGATATCAAGCGCCTGTCCCTATACGTTATTTGTTACTTATGCTCTTGAAATCATATTAAGTAATAATAATTTCATATTACTGAACTCGTTTCACAAGTATCTGCTACTTGTTTTGCACACCAACTGTGATTTATACTACATGGGGGTTATAATCATACCTTCACTGTATTCAATGTACTGACTACATAACAAGGAAACCCACAGGAACATAAGACTGGCAATAATCAACATTATCATCAAGATGGTCTTCAATCTCCGAGCGCAGATATCAGAAAACCTGGAGATATAACATATAGCATACGTAAGGAATTACAAATAAATGCTTCCATGAATCTAATGTAACATTGATCGAATGATAGCTGGGCTAACTGACATTACTAGTTATATCATGTTGCATGTTAAAGTGATACATAGTAAGTTACAGATAAGCTCTACATTACCTTGCAGATATAAATCCCACAACACTGCTGGCTATCAGACAAGAAAACCCAAGCCATCCAGCTTCTGTCTGCAAAGTATTTAACAAATTAAGTAAGATCTATAGCCACAAAAACAATAGTACATTCTACCGTACCAGAGTCATGTTGTCTACTGTTGAATCTAGTATCAACATTCAGAAACCTACCCATTGAATAAATCACATACTGTATGCATCACAGGAAAGTTTAGTGGGTGCTAAAATCATGATCAACTGCAAAGGGTAGCAACTGCCTTAAATATAACATAATTTATCACTTGATACATTTTATAAGAAGTCTTATTTGTTTTACTTTCATGATTTGTCCGTATGTATGAAAGCATTGACACTTTTTACACAACAAATACTTCACAGCATAAAGTCATAGAAATAAAAGAATCCGTTACATCAACCGATGTTTCGATGAAATGATATTTTAATTCACATAACGTACCTAGAATGGCTTATTGAAATGATTAAGAAGGAACTGTCATTGATGCACGACACTTGAAAGGAGATGAACCAAGTGTGAAGAACATGACCAACACAGTTTAATATATAAAAGTACCTTACCTGAGCAATACCGAGATGTTCGAACGTTATTCCAAATATGGTAACCCATGTGGAATACATGCCAATCATTACTCCGGTAAACAGAACAAGTAGACACAAGAATCCATTCCTTAATAATAATAATAAGTATGAATCAGGTTAAAGGTCAAGCATATACGAGGAATTTAAACTCAATTCCATTAAATAATAGCAGATGATTCATGCTTAACCAGAGCTAGCAATCTGCACGGAAGTAAGATCAAAGATGCTTCTTGTCATGCTTAGACGGTGAAGTTTACTTTCACCTTCAGATAGAAGACAGACTCTTCTACACTAGTTGCTTATCTCTATCCTTTCCTGTAACGAAACTACAATGGAAAGCTTTCCATCAAGCTGTATGATAAACGTGATGACTCAATTTCCCTATTGTCAATTTCAAATTTCTTGATAGCATCTCCAGCCTATGGAATTTACATGTCATAGTTAATTCGATATCGAAGGGTCTGTTCTAAATGTACCGTTATTTTCGGGCAAGAAGTCGTCAACTGACTGACAAACTTGTAACACACGGTTTCAAACGATGCAGGTTGATGAACATTATAGGGAAGTTTTATGGTCGCCATAGAGATCTCATTGAGAAATGTTTCATTTCTTTGTGTGACAAGAAGTATTTGATGCTCGTTAGTTTGCCCATTGGATCCGTTGTTGTATACCTTGTTCTCTTTTGAGAACGTGACATTACTTAGACGGATTGACCAAGTTTTACATTGCGGGTGTTGTCGATGAAGCAGAAGATGCTTAATCTTCCGGAGCACATGGTCCTATTCTCCATGACCTTTTTTCCAGTAGTCTCCGTGTAAATCTTTTTTTTTGTTCATGGGTTGCCCTAGTTTTATGGAATTTGTGTTTAATTATGATTATGTTGCCATGTCTATGCAAGATTGAAAGAAAGTTTTCGAGGTTAGAAACATTCCCAAACACTTCAGTAAAATCAGGAAAAAGGCAGAACAGACTTTTTAAAAAGTCACAGAAAAAACATAGTTTAATATTGATAGGTTTAAATCGTAATCTTTCTTCGTTACCTTACGAGATGTAGAAATACCCGGGTGTATCCCATCCTGATAGCGACGGCACTATGAGATGGAGGTGTAGGCGGGGAGTTTGGAACAAGAGCTACGCCCACTATCACAAAGGCTGCAGTAATCCCTGTCTCTATAAACAAATATACAACCATGTCCAAGTAAATCTCAATACTCATCATATCTTTTGAGATAAATTATGATGCTGAAGATATCCGTGTTATCTGTACATAATAAATATAAAGACGATATACTCTCTAGTGTATAGGGTATGCATGTATACATATATACCTGTTTAAGAAATAAAAAAAAGTTCCCATAACAGGGACATATAAAATTTAATCAAATGGATTGATTTACGTCTTCGAAATCTTGTTATGATAAAATGGAATCTTCAATTTGCCGACTTCATAATGTGATTAGGCAAGTCGTACTGAAGGTAAAAGGCAAACTTTTCAAAAATCGTACAAAAGATACATTTACATTTCTGTGGTGATTTCATACTATCACTTGTATTAGGCAGTGAGACTAATTTGCGCTGAAAGTTAAACATATGTATATAAGTCTATTTCCAAAAAAACTAGTATGAATGTGTTTTAATGTATTTCTTGGTTATTTGTAAACAAATATTTACCTATATAAAACAAGGTCATTATCTCCTCTTGCATGATGTCTTTGTTCAAAACTGAAAAATAATTAAGCATTGCCAAATACAAGCCATATTATATTAGAATAAATATTAGATCCAAAACAAGAAGGAAATCGAAATGAATACCAGGTGCACTAGAGAATTAAGAGAGCATCTTTATGGTACAAAACTCAACATACAATGTATATGACATGCCACCGCGGGTTTTATCGGATATCAGTCGACCACGATGATGGGATACTTATTATTATTATAAGACAATTTACAGCAATTGGATTACCAAAATCAAAACAAGGAAATAAAATGCCACAAAAATTGAAGTCGTTTTAAGCTGTCTGTGCTGCACGTCGGATATAGGACTGGTATCACGTCAAAGTAGTCGATAACATTAATTTGTTTTAACATTAAACATGTGTCAGAGCAAGAAACACCTTACACTCTGTTCCCTTGATCAATGATCAACGCTAGTCTCGTTTAATTATTGCCATAAAACTCAGTAAAATCTGTAAGTCCCGAATCTAATAATAAATTAGAACGAAATTCTCCTTTCTATCGGCATCAAATTAAGCTGTGTAAAGAGTGGGAAAGACAATCGTTCATATTGAATTTCTCCGGAAACTGATATTCTAGGTTCTCAAAAACGTTTAAGGTCATTTTGTTATCGAGAGTCTACGCACAGTACTTAAATATATAGTACTGTACTGTACTATCAATAATAAAATGGGGATCAGACTATAGCTTGGTACAAGAAGATCCCGTAATAAAAATTACTTTCTAGGACTCATTGAAATCCAAACGCTTAAACGCATGCTGGATATTTTTGATCGAGAATGATGTAATAAACACGCATACGTGTAATGTGAAACTTTCAAAGCATGGCTGATTTTCTGCTCTTCTTCCGAAGTTATAATCATATTTTTTATGTATTCCAATCTCTCTCTCTCTCTCTCTCTCTCTCTCTCTCTCTCTCTCTCTCTCTCTCTCTCTCTCTCTCTCTCTCTCTCTCTCTCTCTCTCTCTCTCTCTCTCTCTCTCTCTCTCTCTTTTCAGATCATTATAATGAAGGTTCATCAGCACAAATAATAGGGGAAAACGCAAATATGGTAAAAATATACATAAACTGAAGTCAGTAAATTAAATTGATAATTCCTTCGGGTTTTTACCATTGCCTATTCTTATCGTCAGCAGTAACGAAAGAGCTTTATTCGTTGGCGATACGACACTGAGTGGTTGTACACAAGATAACACGACGCAAATCACACCGGAGTATTGTTCACAAAATGATGTGACATAGAACTACAACGTTGCTCGATTTTCTTTATAAAATTGATACCTTTCCCTATTCCATGATCGCCTTTTATGTCATCTAAGATTGTATAAAAGAAGCACACGTTAATATCACCTTTTAATACAAATTTAAAGTACAGTAGAGCCAAACAATGTATTACACTGCAACATACAATTGTTTCGTCTTTCTAGGACTCGTCCGGAATGCTAAATTTCGAAGCCTAGGAAGACGACTGAGGAAACTGTTTAGTCCTTCTAGGATTCATCAGTTAAGGGCTTAAATTTTGAAGCCTAGGAGGCGACTGAGGAAAACACAGTCTACCTAAACAATTATTTAATTCCAGGACAGGAAACAGGAAGAAACAGAAAGATTCACTTCTTTCATTATACAGTTTTGTGCTTTATCCAATATCATGTTTCCATTATTTCTGGTTGGCTGGTTCGATAACCTATTCCTTTCATCATTTTTGTCTCACTAAAACCCACCACATGTTATATAATCATTGTCTTTAAACACGCAAAATTATTCGAAAAGCGTGATGTAATGTATAACATATTTGATAACTTAACGTATTCGTGTCAAACTTAATACGGATACATACCAATATTACCTGCACTACCATTGGTCATATTAGCAGCCAGATTAAAATCATGATCGGTATAGTTGGCGAGATTGCTGTAATTCAGATGGACATAACATCTAGTAATAGCCTTAGGTTATTACATCAATAGTTACGTTAAAGTACTAGTGTATTCAAATATTGTTCAAAATGAATATCGTTTGAAAACTTATTTACAGTTTGTGGAGAAATATGAATAAGTAAAAAGAAAATATCAGTGAAGAGTTATTCAGAATGTAACAAGAATATTTGTTTTATTTTATATATCTTTTTGATAAAAACATTTGTCTCCCCGCATTGGTAAAGAACATAGCCCCTGTTCTTTACAAGATACTGACCAATAAAAGAGAGAAACGATTCAACTTTGATGTAAGATCCACAATCTTAACCAATGGTGTATATCATATGCAAGATTGTATTAGATAAGGAAAAGAACGACAACAGCAACTGGTCTCCTTTCATTCAAAGTGGGACATACTTAACAATAGTGTTTTATTCATATCACAGTTTCTAATACTATCTTTTAGTGTGAATGATTCATTTTTTGTTCTTCAAACAAATTGTCTTGTCTCTTACATTAAAGAATAAAAAAACCGTTGGGCAGAAGGAGAAATCTAAACTTTCTGTATATTAACTCTATGACATAACAAATGTTGTAATTATTTCTCGTTTATATTTAATCACTTTATATCAGTTTATTACCATTAATGAATAATCGTAAATACAAAGTACGATAACTAATTGTAAATTCATGTTCTATCATTTCTATATAAATCTATGTATAGGGTATAATATGGAAATACATAATCGATTATGTGGAGTAAGTATGTGCAAAGCTGGATAGTATTCATAACGGCGCCTTTGATTGAATGAACTGAAGCAGTTGTAATAGTGTCGCGAGCCTCATAATGAAAAGCAAACCGATAAAAATGACGAAATTGTAACGATTGATACCACTGTCATTATATATTCATTGTACTCTTTTTAATGTAGAACATGATTATCATCAATCATCATCTTTTTTTTTCATTTGATATACATTTAGTGCGCACCGTAGAGATGAAACATGATAACAAAAGTAAGCTATTTTGTTTCTGTATTGAAGAAAAATACTCTAAAGATCTACACCATTCAAATTTACTACATTTTCTTCTCGTTTGTTTACAAACAAGTGTTGCGTCACGGGTATAAATAGTGCATTTACATTAAACGTTTCTTCCTTTCTCTGTAGCGCTTATGGTGTTACCTGAAGTGAGAAGTAGTTCATGTGAATCCGTGTAATATATAAACTTCTACCGAAGCAGGAATACTATATCAACTCGCTTCACACATAAATCTCTGTGATATAGCATACCAAATCTCTAATTTTGTTTTCCCAATTTAGGCTACTACCTTTTTGTTTTGGGCGGATTCTTCATATAAATGAGTATCTATAACACTAGTAACATGCTAGCCGCTTCCTACCGACTTGTTAAAGCAGAATTTCCTTTTAGCGTTAGTCTGTTAAACCAGATGTCCAAGATTCAATTGCAAGCAGAGTCAATAAGAAAATACGATGTTACGTAGGTGCTTGGTAAGTCCATTTTTTTCTGTTCAAAGAGTAGTTAACCCTTGTAAACTATTGTTGCTTCCAATTTTCTTGGGAGCAACAGAGCCAGAAAACTTTGGTAGGGCGTTTGCGTTTTTTGGGGGTTTTTTTCTTATACTTTATTTTTCAGAATTTTTATCTGGTACAGAATAAAGAAAGACATTCACACACCCTTACTGTCATTTACCCTATGTCCTTACATTTTGTATCGTCATGGTCTTTCAAGTCACCAGAAATGTTTGCACCAAGGATCAATATTCAAAAATCCTTTTGCTGAAATGTACACGTACATACATCCTTTCTCCCTTACATTCATGCTGCAGAGATAGCCATTTTAACTAAAGGTCTCTGATCTCCAAACACATTAAGGATTACGTAATATCAGTATGCACCTTAGTCTATGACGCAACACACGACATAAAAATCTAGGAATAAATCAAAGTGGTCAGCCTTCAAAACAGAAAACAATAATCGGATGTGTTTCTTTATTATTAGAACAAATCAAACTCTAATGGTCCACTGCTAACACTTGTATATACGAAATTTGGTATACGACCTTCGTTTATTTCAGCTTCAGTTCATCCAATCAAAAACGTCGTAGCAAACACAAAGTATCGACTGGTTCAAGGTTTGAGACGCCCTGTTGTATTTTGTTTTCTTTTTTGTGTAATAACAATATAAAGTAGTTTACTGTATTTAATTACTTACCTTTCATTAAAATATTCGTACGAGGTCGACTCCTTGCCAAACATAGGTGTTGACACCGTGAGCGGATCTAAGAACGGAAGGTTTAAAGTTTGAAAAATGTCACTATAACATTAGTACCAAACAGAAATGCTGTAAACGTCTTTGTTGATACGCAAGTATGTTTTAAGAAAAACCATGAATAACACATGCTACTTCGAGATATAATGATATGATAAACTTGTCAACATAATCTTATTTCAAACTCAAAATCGATGAGGTGAGGACAAAATATGAAGGAAGATTTAAACGGATTCCCCTGAAAAGGTACAACGTAAGCGTAATCTGATTAGTCGGTGACGTTTAAACGAAAAACGTTATTTTTTCTATCACGATTAAAACAGAACAATCATCCATGTTGGCCAGGTTTTTTAACTTCTGTTAAGGTATACAACACATTCCAAAACGTTAGTACAATAAGGCAATAGGTCACATTAAAAATCAAAATCATTTGATTTCAGTTTTAAACATTAAACTATGATACATACTGATGACGTAAGCGATCCCCAAACCGATGTATGTACTCATAACTCCTATAGACGTGGCTGTAGCACGCTCGTTTTGTGGAAACCACGCCACTGACATTGCAGCTGGTCCGTTGTAAGCGACGACATTGCCGAAACCGATAAACAATTGTCCCAGCAAGGGCGGCCTAAGTAATGAAAAAGTAACTTAACGAGTTAACAATAGATTATCATCTAATTTGACAGATCGGCGATCATTTCTGGACGGGAATAATATACGCTTTAAGCTTGTTTTCCCATCCCAAATATAATGGATATTTGTGTAATATTGTCATTGTATTGAATAAAATTATAAAAATTATAAATTTGATATTGATCAAATATCAAATTTATTGTCACATTAATAATATCACACAACAGCTTCAGCCGATAAAGTCACGATACCAGCTAAAGCTGACTTGCATCAATATATTACCATAGTAATAAAGTCACACAACAGCTTCAGCTGATTAAGTCACGATACCAGCTTAAGTTGGCTTGTATCAATATGTTATCATAGTAATAATGTCACACAACAGCTTCAGCTGATTAAGTCACGATACCAGCTTAAATTGGCTTGTATCAATATGTTACCATAGTAATAATGTCACACAACAGCTTCAGCTGATTAAGTCACGATACCAGCTTAAGTTGGCATGTATCAATATGTTACCATAGTAATAATGTCACACAACAGCTTCAGCTGATTAAGTCACGATACCAGCTTAAATTGGCTTGTATCAATATGTTACCATAGTAATAATGTCACACAACAGCTTCAGCTGATTAAGTCACGATACCAGCTTAAGTTGGCATGTATCAATATGTTACCATAGTTTTCGAATCTGAATCATTTCACTAACCGCCACAAGAACAGAAGTTTAATGTTAGAAATTTTGGCCTCCAAATCTTCATAAATCATATTCATAACACGATGAATCCTCATTATAAACCAACAACAGATACGTTCTGAATATAGCAAAGTAACAACTGACACACTGTTTTATTATATACATGTATATTCATCTGAATTTACATTGAAGAACATATCAGCCTTCTTCCTGGATCACCACACTTACAACTAACCACCAGGGACAGCCTCTGACTAAGTTGTACTGTATATGTTTTCAAATTTCAGCAAGTGGCAACTCTGTTTCTCTGATTTGTGATGTGTGCATGATTCGGTATATTCTACAGATGGTCTACAATATTTAGAATTCCATATAATATATTGTATGAATGAAAGCAGTATTGACCATTTAACAAAATAGCGCATACATTTAATTCGATTTCTATGGAAATATATATATACGTACCATGTGGAAGTCGTTAGGTTAGTTAAGCAGCGCAGTATATATCCCACTAGTAGCAGAGTATTGCTCGTTATCATAGCAATACGGATCCCTATTCATAACAAAATTATTGTCGTCATGGAATGTATTTCTATACGTCAGACTGATAAGTTAAATACAAATTTATATATTGCAATCATTTATACTACGCTTGTCACAAAAATACCTCCGAATTATCTTGTATTTCATTGGGTAAAGAATAAACGAATATATATGTAAGCCAGGGAAAAGAATAAACATAAATATATATTAGCCGGGGAAACGAATATACGAAAAGATATGTAAGGGTAAAGAATAAATAAAACAAAAATATGAAATCGAAACATTCATCACGAAGTTTACTGCTTATAATTGCAAGAGTTGTATGTACGAAAAGGTCTAGAATTTTAAACAACATATTCGTTATCAAGTGAAGAATGAAAAGTATTTGAAAGCCGGGTAATGTATCGTCTTTGGGTATACTTGATAATTCAGCTTTTATATACATCCTATACAGGTTAAGAAGGACTTACCTTTTTTATCTACTAAGTAACTGAGGGGAACTATGCTTGCGAACATTGCAAGTCGTCCCACATTGAGAATATCCGCTATGACCGAGTCGTTCCAACCGAAGCCATATTCAACAGATGCAGTGATTGGGCCCCAGGCATTCCAGCTGCATGTAACAAACATGCTTGCCAAACTGACGTAACAGAGAACCCACCAGCGACGGGCGTACGTCCTCGGCTTCGCTTGCAGTAACGGTTTTACCTCATCCGCGGCCATTTCTTCATCTAAGAATGTTGGAAGCTCTCTTTGATTTGAAGCTCGTAGATTGTAAACTGTATAAAATGTCAAGGAATGTACCTTTTAACGGACCAGAGAGGAAATAATGGAACACACTTCTATTAAGAGTAATTCGTTGACATCCGGGTACATACCATGGTACATAAAGTTCCAGTACTGTATCTTATACAATGTCCGAGATTAAACAAGAACCGAATCACTTATGTCCTATTGTTATGTACTGTAGCTAATTTACATAATATCAAGGTTGTATGTTGGATCCAGTGGTGACCAGTTTAAACCAGTTGACACGTATATTAACCAGGAGCTTGACAACGCATGTGACTGTTTACGGTAATCATATTAGATAAACACGTGACAACTGTTTTATTATAAGTCATGCGAAAAAAGCATTGTTTTGCAAGCAGCAAAAATCCTAAATCATACGCTACTTTTGTCAATTTGTTAATTCATAAAATGAATGTAAACCTCTAAAGTATTTGCTGCCCAATAGAAAGCAGACATACGTATTATACATCGCGCTCCCGGTCTAAATACTTTCAAAGTCACGGAGGATCATGGTTTGAACTCGGTAATGACCATGAAAACGATTTACTTGACATCATACATAAACATACATACAGTGTATCACATTAAACCACTAGCCTTACTAGATCAAACCGGTTTACTCCGATTCTTTGGCCGTCTTAGATTCATCATGTCAAGGCTAGACACGTTCTCTACATATAAAACGGAACCTTTTGTACGTGACGATCTTTATCATCGCTCCACTGACTTCAGCGGGAACGTATACAGCATATATTTACAAAGAATGTTTCTGTGTTGATTCCATATAAAATAAAACCAATGAAGAACGATAACAATACTTTGTGTTACGATTAATTAATCACTCTCCTTATACATCCTGATCAATTATGATCGTATGAAGTAGTCGATCACTGAAAACTGTTCATTCATTTTTATTCCACGATAAAGGACGTTGAAGTCAATTTCAGTTGTATCAAAATCAGTGACGGGTATGACAAATGCAAGGTAAACGGCACTGCGGCGTCATCGCACGGAACTCTGTCATCCTCGGCCCCAGGTGAAAACCGCACTGTCGTTTATAGTGTGAACACGTTTACCACGAGAAATGTTCCATTTATCGATCTAGGTCTCCATATTAAATAAATATGCTATATAGATAGTACTAATAAACCATAAAGCCTCTTTAAATGTTCAAACGTGTTTAGTTACGGCACTCGGCTTTGTCCCACTGGGTCGAGATTTCGATATTCATCCGTTCCCGACTATGTGGGCACTACTACATCGTATAATATTAAGACATCACGCAGGCCTCCTTTTGAAATTTAAAGTTGAATTCTTTTACATCGCGATATTAATGTTTCTCTGGTTTCTGTTGTTTACATTAATTGAACAATTTAAAAGGTCTTTTTTTAATTTCATAGATATTAGTCAGTTCAGTTCAGTCCAATGGCACAGAGATGATATATTGGATTGGGCTCAACACCAATCTGGTTTACGATAAACTACATCTGATTGAACACCCGTTTGCTGCATTCATGAGGTAGTGGAGGGAGTTATTCAGCATTGACAGCTGAGTAGTTTCACATCTCCGAATGAAAATTTTCAAAGCATCTTTTCTATATGAAAATCTTTCTTATTTCAAGAACTGGAACTCCTTAATCCCTTAGGCGAGGTATTGTCAACAGAATTTTCAATCCTCATTGAAAGTTAAATATCTTTCTGTTACACTCCAGCTGAAGTGTTCATTCAGTGATCTTCTGGTATCAAGGACCTGAGGATAACATTTAAAGTTTTGAAAACATTGAAATATATATATTTATATTTGCAAGAGTCCAAACAGGTCTAAAATGCTCAACTACTCTACAGTTAACAAAGATGGCATTGTTGGTTCATATATTCTCAAATATCATTGCTTGTTGAAAAAGATACTTTTAAGATATCAACTTATTTGGCACAAGATACCTTGAATATAGGTCAAGGTCAATTATTTTAATAAATTTGCAAGCCCTTCATGTACACCTATTTTAAAGAACCAATTTAAACTGCCTGGACCACTTAATTATTGAGAAGAAGTCGTTTGAAGATTTTAACACTTGTGACCTTCAAAAAGAGAAATGGTCAACCATAGGGGCAAAATTGGTAAGCGTCCTACACCTTGTGGTTATTTAAAAGAATTGGTTAAAGATTTTGACGTATTTGACATATGTGACCTTGAAAAACGGTTAAGGCCAATGATATGAACATATTATTATTGATAGCCCTTCATTTTAGTATGCTACAGGCCAAATATTAACACTCTTGGTCTTTTGGTTATCAAGAAATCATTTAAGAGAGTCTGGCATTTTTGAAACAAAAGACCTTGAAAGTAGGTCTAGTAGGTCAATAACATGAACAAACCTGGTAGCCCTTCATGCCAGCATAATACAGGCCCAATATCAACACTTTCGGCCTTTTCGTTATTGCGAAGTTGTTAAAAGATTTCAGCACATTTGACCCCTGTGGGTCAAGGTCATTCATTTTAACAAAGTTGGTAGCCTATATGCCAGCATCCTACAGGCCCAATATCAGCACTCTGGGCCTTTTTGGTTATTGAAAAGAAGTCATCTGAATGGAAATGTACACATGGTAGACAGCAGACAGTGCAAGACCATGAACAAAACACGATGGCTATAGTTCATCCTTAACCTCCTGTTCAGATGACTTAAAAATTTCTTCCAACCCAACTTTAACAATATCCTTGTATGGAGGAAGGATTTTAAAGAATCTACATTTCCCTAATGGGGGCCATCCCTCCTCAGTAGGGGGCCACAATGTACCGCTTATATAAAACTTATATAAATTTGGGCACAATCCCATCATTCCTAAAGGAGTAGAATTTTGAAGAATTTCATATTTCCCCTATTAGGCCCCATCTGCAAGGGCAAAAAGACTTACTGTTTACATAAAACTGTTTCTGCTTCACCAAAGAATGCCTCACATCAAATTTGGGCAATATCCATTCATTCCTACAATAGGAATAGGATTTTTTTTAAAAAATTAAAAAAAAAACTCCCCGTATCAAAAAAAATAAAAATAGAAAAATTTCCCGTTTTAGGCCACGCCCAAGAAGGCTGAGACCTAATGTTCAAAAAAGATTTAACCCTTTCACCAAATTATGCTTCACTACAAAGTTGGGGAACATCAATTCATTCCTAAAGGAGGAGTAGGTTTTTTTTAAGAATTTACAAACTTTCCCCTTTTGGGCCTCATCCACCTCATCATTGGTTTCTCTTCCCCCAATGTTGATTCTGATAAAATTTGGTCAAGATCTGTACAGCCATTAATGAATAGTAGTGACAACTTTGACCGACAGCGCTAGGCATAAGCTCACAGGTCATTTGGACCGAATGAGCTAAATAAATAGTCAGAAAAAAGTTAATTAGTAAAAGAGTAGTGAAATGTCTAACTTTGCCATGGCCATGATAAAGTGAAGCTCTCTGAAGTGAAGCATTTAATCCAAGCATGCTAGATTCAATATCAGCATCCTGTGCACATATTAACACATTTGACCCCTGTGGCCTTGAACGTGGCCCAAGGTAATTCATATTTAAAAAACTGGGTAGCCCTCCATCTCAGCATCATACAAGTCCAATAGCAGCACCCTGGGCCTTTTGGTTATTGAGTACTAGTCAGTAATTGATTGATCTTTTTTCTTTTTCTTTTCTTTTTTTTATTATTTTTTTTTCTTTATTACAATGGTGAAATGAAAGGCGATTACTTTACCATGGCCTTCACTTTATCATACTTCATTGGATCTCTGGCATGATAATCGACCAGTCAACTAACTGAGCTGAAGAAGCATGCTCCATCAGCTGAGTGAGCATATTTAAAATTATAATCAGGACAAACAGACCTGTTCCTTTCAGCTAAGAATTAAATACATAAATGGTTGATTTACTAAAAAAAGTGTAATTACTCAGTTACAAGGTACATGTTCTTTAAAAAATGGCTTTATGTCACATGATTTAGCAGATCTAGATTAACCCTAAACGTACCCTGTATATATTTTTTCTAAGTACGTAAAACTGTCATTACTTTCGTTACTTATTATTGGTCTACATCGTTTCCGCTTCTTAATTTGTACTTTCTCATCTTCCATGTTTGTATAAAGTTCTACGATAGCTCGGAATTTCCTTACATCCCAAATGTCTTCAAAAATGAGAGCGTACATGGGAAGGGATATCATGGAATAGGCTCAATATTTCTTGGGTGACAACTGATGCAGCGTTGAAAGGCTTACCGCCGATGCCATCTAGATTTAGTCGAAGACCCTACAATACAAAGAATAAAATACTTAAACACATACATTTCCTACAGTGTTAAAAACATGAATTCCTCTCATATTATCTAAGTAGACAGATACAAGATTTAATGTATAATTTATATTAACTCCACATATGTAAATCTTATTGAAACAATAGCTACCTACCCTGACAATGCCAAACAAAGACCACCAAACGAGAACGAGACAACGTCACATAGGTAAACTGGAAATGCGTACACAACATATATACTTTACCCCCTCCCCCTTTGAAATGAGGTCCAGCAAATCCTGAAGTCGCATGAATGACACACATTTTTGGGGTCAACACCTCATTATGACGCCGAATGATAAAGGGAGTTTGTACACGCACTAACATTTCCGTGTAGTTTCCTTTGAGTGTAAACATATATCGAAGATACTACTTTTTATTAAGAAAAAAAGTGTTCCTTATTAAGTGTTATTACCTCTACTGATGGTAAAACCTATTACATGGATTTATTATTAGTTTTTATTGCATCATCTCAAACTGTATTCTCTCTGTGCTGAGTTCGAGTATTAGTTTTATTTAAGCGCCGATACTCAGTTGCTTTTGTAATATCTATTTTATTCGTAGAAAAGGATTTTAAAGCACCAAGAAAACATCGAATGCACAACTAAAAGCCAGGAGTTTCGGCATGTATTATTGGATACACGTAATACATACTATAAATACTAACACTGGATTTATCAAGGTATGTTAGATGCAAGAACATATTTTTTAAGTAAAGACGCTTTATTGCAATGTTTGATATTCAATAATATGTTGATGTTGACGTGATCAGGATCATGATAAATCCCTGTTAAATCATAAATAAGCCGAACCCCTGCTTTCTGTTTACATCTGATAACCAGATCGACATTCAGAAAGTTTTAATTTTCTCCCTATATATATGACGATATTAAAGGTTTGATACCTCTCTCTTCGCCAGTCTTTGGACTTTTCAGAAGTTATCTATTTATATTCTTTTTTTTTAAGTTATTTTTCTACATCTTAACTGTTATGTATTTGTTATTTACTTGCTCCATGCCATTAGAAACACAGAGCAATATAAACATTAAAACACCAGGAAGATATTGACGGTAAAACAAAACCTTTGTTGGCGACAACACAGCAAGGTCATTGAATAGCCTGTCCCTGGTTTGAATAGAAGCCAGGAGTTTCGGCATCTATTATTGGATACACGTAATACATACTATAAATACTAACACTGAATTTAACCAACACTTGATAGGAGGCCGAGGACGTTGTTGTAACATGTACACATCCATTTGACTGAAAAGTGACAAATACATACTCTGTGAAGATTCCAGGTAATATGATAGGTATTTTATCTATTGCTTGCCATTCTATTTAAGAAATATCTATATATTTCATGTAATATATGACATGTGATTAATGAAACTCTTGTAAGATGCTGTTTGCGTAATATATTGATAAAGGTTCCAGTGTACCATGCCTTTGGTATGTACGGAAATTGTTTAAGGTTTCAATGTACTCTGTCTTTGGTATGTACGGAAATTGTTTAAGGTTCCAGCGTACCCTGTCTTTGGTATGTACGGAAATTGATAAAGGTTCCAGTGTACTCTACCTTCTTGTTTGTACGGAAATTGTTTAAGGTTCCAGTGTACTCTACCTTTGACATGTTAGCTGGTAAGAATACATGTTTATAGATTTAAATTTTATTGTACTTTACCTTTAGTATGGGCAGATTAAGATTCTAGTACCTGTAGCATATTCGAATATTTATTCATGTAGTGCACTCTGCCTTAGGACTTACAATAATACATCCAAACGAATCCTTCATATTTGATTTTCAAACAAAACTGACCTTTTATTTTGCTTTGTAGGCGTTAATGCAATATGGAGAATGCTCATAACCTTGCGGTTCTGAGAACTTTAAGACCTGGAGATATGGTGGAATTCCAAAGGGCATGGTATTACTCTCACTGGGGTGTTTATATAGGTAAGTCATACACGCATGCTATTGGTGCTGTAACGTGTAGGTTGCAATCGCTCGCCTGATAAAATATAATCGAACTCTGTATTTTTCCACATAAATTGACATTGCTATCAGATGTTTACTCCTGTTTTGTTGGACGATTGAGTGTCCAGTTTGACCAGGAGAATACTTTCCTAAACAATAATGACATGTTAGTTGAATCAATGGGACAGCTCATTTCTAGTACAACTGGATCATAAGCTATGATAACTGACAAATGATGTTCTTCAGCAACCTGTGACATCTGCACCTGTGTAAGTACTTTGTTACCAAGACAGTGTTGTTGATTGTAAGATAGGTGTTTAGAATTAAATTTCTTCTAGAAAGTTGTAGTGTTAGGTTGAAATTAGCAGCATTTATAGCATTTTTTCAGTAGGTAACCATGACAGTCAAATGTCAGAAATCAGAGGAAATTTTTTTTACACAAATTTCATCTCTCTACTGTTAATGTAATTGTTATGTAGTTAATAAATATATATACATGTATTGATGTATTTTTCATAACCAATCTGCTATACCTGTATATCTCAAACATGACAAATAATTTCAGGAAAAATGCAAATCAACTGTTTACTGCTACCTTATAGCACAGTAGAATCAAGCAGGATGTTGTCGGGTTCATGTCACGTGTGCTATGGGAAAGCATTATGAGATTCGACGGATAAATATAGCTGCGTAATTTCTTTCATTAGTTACCTTATTTGGCATTATTTTCGGACCTCATTGGAATATACACGTAGCACTAAGCGCGGGATATAAGTAAACACGCAACTATACGAATGAAACAAAGAAAACATTAACAGAGGCAGGTAATCCAGTTAATCACATGCATTGTGCTCGGGCATAGGTAGTACATCTTTCATATTGGATGTTCATTTCTGTATCATTTCAATTACTTCTTCTCGATCAACTTCAATTTCAGCTAGTAATTAATTTTCATTCGGTTTTATTTTAATTAGGTTACGATAACATTGTGCATTTGAGCGGAGACGACGGTTCTGGAAGTTGGGATGCTTCTAGATCAGATAGCCCGTTATGCATTTGCGGGAAGAATATTGACAAAGCCCGTGTGAAGATTGACAAGTTTTTTGATGTGGCAAAAGGATGCAAAGCTAAACGAAACAATGATAAAGATCGGAAATGCAGGTATATTATTACCAATGAAAACGTATTAAGTATTTTATCAACACATAAATACCAAATAACATGTTTTCTCTGTGTATGACCGGCTTAAATAGTAGCAATGCAAAACAAGATCAGGAATCATACTATGAATAATGATACCCATTCATAACAATTAATCATATGGATATACCTGCGCTGAACCGGTAGGAAGTGCACTGAGGACCCTTCTGTGGAAGGAAAGAGATAATACCAACAGGTCAAGATAATCATGATCCAAATTCAGTTTCAATAAAACAACGGTAAAATATAAACAACAGAAAGATTTACACTGAGACTTCCGAAATGTGCAAGGAAAATAAGACCATGTGTTCCGAAAGAGTAAGCGTCTTATGTTTCGTCGACGACGCCCACCATGTAAATCTTTATCATTCCAAGTAAGAAATGCCAGGTTCCCAAATCAGAACAATGTATAAAACAACAGAACCAACATGAATACGAACTAGCCTCAAACACGTCCAATTTCATATTTATAGAGGCTATAGAAATATGTTCTGATGAGATCATTGAAATGACCATAAAATTTACTCATCATTTTCATCAGCCTGCATCTCTAGAAACCCTGTGTCGTGAGTTTGTCTGTCAGTTGCCAACATCTTGTGCGAACAAGTCCTTAAATATCGATTCGACTTCAAGTGTAAACGCCATCGGTTGGTGGATACATAGACGTATCCAGGGAAAAACCCACGTGGTCGGACAGAGAAAACGGGGGAACAATTTTGTTTGTTACCAATACACCACCAGACCACTGTTTTAAACTTGATATCTTTCTCATATATAAGCTTGACCTATGTCGAAAAACTTCGAGAATCTGTCTGAAATAAATATAGTTTGCCTCTTCAACGACCAAACTCCCCAGATATGAAGTTTTGGAGTGATATGCTCTGGCAATGGCAATAAGTAAGCATCGTGAGTGAAAACTACTGTACCCGTGAGGGTGAGGGAAGGTGTGAGTGTTGTCTGTTTTAAGATATTGAAACATAGTTTTCTCGTTGTGTAGACAAACCGAATGATACCAGCTTTTGCAATTTTAGGCCATTAGACCCACATGAAATCGTAAGGAGGGCAAAGGAAATGGTCGGGAAGTATGGCTACAACGTCTTAAGGAATAACTGTGAACATTTTGCTTCCTATCTTAGGTACAACATAAAATGGTCAGAACAGGTAAATATATATATGTCCACTACTATACTTTAGAATATTAGATAATGCTTTATATAAGGAAGATCCTACAAATACATTCAGTTGGCAAAGGAAACATTGTCATATAAAGATGAACATAGGCATCTATGCTAATTATATTATAGTTTTGAGCCAATAGGACCAAATGTCAGTCGATGTTCTGTATAAAAATATTTTTTCATGTCTAACTACCGTTTATTTATCATTAAATCTATACAATTGCACATTTCTCTCTTGAAAAACACTTCATCATCTTAATGATGATTTTATAATCGTCTATGTATGTTTATACTATGATGTCGCTTCAACTGCATATACCGTTCAACTACTGCTATTAAATAGTTATAAAATCTGTTGCAGGTTGACAGCATAGCAGCAAAGGTTGTGATAGGCGGCACTTTATTTGTGTTTGGTGCACTAGCTAAAGCCTTCTTAAGTTCATGGAAACAAAATAAAAAATAACGACTGACAATCTGGTTAAAACACGATCTTCATTTTCAGTACGATACTCTAGAACGTACCGTGTCTGAGTGGGATTAAAACATAGTGTTGTCATATCACTGCATTATAAACAAAATCACTGTTTGGCGTCATCTTTTTATAAGAAATATCACAAAATGTTAAGTAGTGCTAAAGTGGTTTCAAAACATCCATAAATAAACAGGAATAATAACCGTAATATTGTAAAAGTTTAGGAAAAATCTACATTGTACATTGCAAAGTTACAATATTGTAATATCAAATAAAGTTACTTTAGTTTTTTCTCTGATTCTATTTCAAAACTCTCTCAACCAAAGACAATTAAAGTCAATAAATGACAACATGCTTAAAGCAGGGTCTTTTATCGTTTATCAGTGAATGTAGGTGTTAAGCGATGCGCATGCTTCAAAGTCTGTATACTTAGGCATCAACGATCCTAAAAAGGGAAAATCCAAGAAAATATCCGAAAAAATTTCTTATTCCTTTAAACGGAAGCTGGTTAGTGTCACATGAAGTAAATATGTTCATTTCGAAATCACAACTTAATAAGCCGAAATTACGACCTAGTTATCTTAAATTACGACATATTTCTATCGTAATTATGACATCAACATAACTAAATCGAATTCATGAAAAAAAGTAGCCCGTCATTACGAGGTAATAAAGTCACATTTACAATATACTTGTAAAATAACATAAAAAATAATTCATGTGTCACTAACAGGCTTCCGTACATATGAAATGTAATCGAGTGGAAGATATTTGACATGGGATTCAGGCAAATATTGTATAAATTGAAGTTTCTTTGTCAAACTTCAAGTCATTTCTTTTCTATAGCTACAGTCTCCATAGCTACATCACATTGCAATCCCTGTGTGTATGCCGTCATTTAATTACCTTAACCTGTCGTACGATGGGTTATATAACATTCTGTGTAGAACGAAAAATATGGTTATATTCACTTCAATGGCTACTTAACAAGGCAATCAAGTATGATAGCATATATTAGGGAATGTTACTTGAAAAATCCTAAATGAAATGTTGATTTTATTTATCATTTTTTTCATGTTCTGAACAACATTGTTAGAGATAAATATATGTGTAACTTTGTACAATTATGTGGTATTGCTTTGTTCCTTGCGAAATTATGTTATTCGCAAACACGTGATCACCTTGACTCGTCTGTATTATGTAATTTAGTAACATTTCGGCTAAAGAGCTCAGATAAAAAAAACTTTTGTACGGTGTCATATAAAAGTAATGACACATGTACTTTAACAATCCAATCTCGGTTTGTATTCATCTGTGGTGTGCTGACATACTTGTTGGTATCTTGGGTTACGTAAGACACTTGTTATCAATTTAAGATCTGATGAATTGTACGACTGAAATGTGTTCTTGTATATATATGTACTGATTGCTTCTATGCCGGTAACTTGTCAATGGAAGAGACTCTCCTCCGTTGGCTTTTCTGTAAAACGGCAGCCAAAATAAAGAGACAGAGGGCCGTGGCATGGGCAGCTGCCACGCTGTAATAGGACGCACCATACGATCCCGTAACATCTACTAACCAACCTGCAATAACCGAGTTATTTTATATCATCTACTGTGCAGTACAGGAAAACATCCAAAACAAGGACGTATCTCAATTTTGGCTTCTCATACTTCTGTATTTTACAAAACTTCTTCATGACAAAGATTACATAATATAAGAAACCAATTATCCGGAAAAAGTAAATGAAAAAGAATACGGAATGAAATATCCGGAATTAACATGGAAAGGGAAATAGCTCTTAAGGTACAATTAAACAATTAAAGTATTCTAATATATATTTAGCAAATTAACCATCTTATATAGTTTATATATAACACTACATAGTATACAAAACGTGATAACATGTAATACCGACACAATAGTATAAAGACTTAATAATTCTTATGTTTTCTAAAGAATAGATATTCATGATTCAACCATTGTACCTAATATTTTGAAACAAAGTGACAAATATTCATCTACGCATGAAAATGCCATAACTATCATATAAATCGGATTTTTGTTATTACTTACCAAACACAGTTCCAGCGCAAATACAACTCAAACCTGCCACTGTCATCAGGATACCAAGTCCGACGGCATAATTCTCTAATCCTACAAGCTCCATCGTTGTCATCGACATACACGTGTCATTGCACCCAATCGTCATTCCGAAGACACACACTAGAAACACATGTTGGTAGTACATGGTCGCAGACGGAAGACAGGCAGTTGAAAACGTACTCATGCTTGTGAATATCACGGATATAGCGAGTACTTTCATTTGAGGTATGAGTGTGCACATACCGGGTAGTAATCTACCAAAAGTGTTGGATACACTCATGTAAGTGTACAGTAGTAATGCTTCATGTCTTTCATATCCTTTAGTCTGAAGAAATTCCACCAGATAAACCAACGCTGAACCGAAGGCGGAAAGTGTCAAGGAAATTCCAAAGGTGAACATGATAAATACACAGTTTCTTACCAGTGATTTTAACTTTGTCTGATATGTAGTTTGCTTATTACGTGAGCCACTATTTCCTGTCATATAAATTCTAATTGTTTTGGCATTGATCTGCCGATGATTTGACAAAGATTCACAGACACTGAAGAAACATATGATGTTTCCCACGAGTCCAGTCATTATAAGTAGACATCCACGCCATCCGTACGCGTTGATCAAGAAGTCCAGCAGGAATGGTAAAGTGATTGCACCACATGTAGATCCGGTACCAGTGAATGCAATAGCAATAAGTTTGGCTTTACCACTGAAGTATTCGCCAACAGATTTCATACCTGACACAAAGGCCAGCGAAAAGCCGAACCCTACTGGAGTAAATGAAGTTTGATTAAGGATAAATTTCAATTCATTTATAAACATTTTAACAAAAAGATGATAAGAAGGTAGCATAACATTTAGGAATCTAATGAATCACTAAGAAATATGAATTGACATGAAACTTCACAAAATGAAAACGTGATATACTGAAATATAACATCACATAGGGATAATGTCAGTATGCTAAAATGTAACATCACATAGGGATAATGTCAGTATGCTAAAATGTAGCATCACATAGGGATAATGTCAGTATGCTCAAATGTAACATCACATAGGGATAATGTCAGTATGCTCAAATGTAACATCACATAGGGATAATGTCAGTATGCTCAAATGTAACATCACATAGGGATAATGTCAGTATGCTCAAATGTAACATCACATAGGGATAATGTCAGTATGCTCAAATGTAACATCACATAGGGATAATGTCAGTATGCTCAAATGTAACATCACATAGGGAGTAATGTCAGTATGCTTAAATGTAACATCACATAGGGATAATGTCAGTATGCTCAAATGTCGACAATGTCGATATACTGACCTGTAACTACACATAATGACAATGTCGGTATACTGACCCGTAACTACACATAATGACAATGTCAGTATACTGACCTGTAACTACACATAATGACAATGTCGGTATACTGACCTGTAACTATACATAATAACAATGTCGGTATACTGGCATGTAACTGCACAAAATAACAATGTCGGTATACTGACCTGTATCTATACATAATGACAATGTCAGTATACTGACCTGTAACTTCGATAATGACAATGTCGGTATACTGACCTGTAACTATACATAATGACAATGTCGGTTTACTGGCCTGTAACTACACAAAATGAAAATGTCGGTATACTGACCTGTAACTATACATAATGACAATGTCGGTATACTGACCTGTAACTTCACATAATGGCAATGTCGGTATACTGACCCGTAACTACACATAATGACAATGTCAGTATACTGGCATGTAACATCAGATAATGACAATGTCGGTATACTGGCATGTAACTTCAGATAATGACAATGTCAGTATACTGACCTGTAACTACACATAATGACAATGTCGGTATACTGACCTGTAACTATACATAATGACAATGTCGGTTTACTGGCATGTAACTACACAAAATAACAATGTCGGTATACTGACCTGTAACTATACATAATGACAATGTCAGTATACTGACCTGTAACTTCAGATAATGACAATGTCGGTATACTGACCTGTAACTATACATAATGACAATGTCGGTTTACTGGCATGTAACTACACAAAATGACAATGTCGGTATACTGACCTGTAACTATACATAATGACAATGTCGGTATACTGACCCGTAACTATACATAATGACAATGTCGGTATACTGACCTGTAACTATACATAATGACAATGTCGGTATACTGACCTGTAACTTCAGATAATGACAATGTCGGTATACTGACCTGTAACTACACATAATGACAATGTCGGTATACTGACCTGTAACTACACATAATGACGATGTCGGTATACTGACCTGTAACTACACATAATGACGATGTCGGTATACTGGCATGTAACTTCAGATAATGACAATGTCGGTATACTGGCATGTAACTTCAGATAATGACAATGTCGGTATACTGACCTGTAACTATACATAATGACAATGTCGGTATACTGGCATGTAACTTAACAAAATGACAATGTCGGTATACTGACCTGTAACTATACATAATGACAATGTCGGTATACTGACCTGTGACTATACATAATGACAATGTCGGTATACTGACCTGTAACTACACATAATGACAATGTCGGTATATTGACCTGTAACTATACATAATGACAATGTCTGTATACTGACCTGTAACTTCAGATAATGACAATGTCGGTATACTGACCTGTAACTATACATAATGACAATGTCGGTATACTGGCATGTAACTTCAGATAATGACAATGTCGGTATACTGACCTGTAACTACACATAATGACAATGTCGGTATACTGACCTGTAACTACACATAATGACAATGTCGGTATACTGACCTGTAACTTCAGATAATGAAAATGTCGGTATACTGACCTGTGAATTCAGATAATGACAATGTCGGTATACTGACTTGTAACTGTACATAATACAATGTCGGTATACTGGCATGTAACTTCAGATAATGACAATGTCGGTATACTGGCATGTAACTACACAAAATGACAATGTCGGTTTACTGACCTGTAACTATACATAATGACAATGTCGGTATACTGACCTGTAACTACACAAAATGACAATGTCGGTATACTGACCTGTAACTATACATAATGACAATGTCGGTATACTGACCTGTAACTACACATAATGACGATGTCGGTATACTGACCTGTAACTACACATAATGACAATGTCGGTATACTGACCTGTAACTACACATAATGACAATGTCGGTATACTGACCTGTAACCACACCGATGGTTACGATAAGATAAGGGATGCTTGTTGCGAAGAATGACGCGGATAGGAATGCTAACAAACCTCCACACATTCCCATCTTCCTCACTCCGTACTTATCTACACAGAGGCCACAGATGAAACCTTGAAAATAATATCATAAGTCTATAGTTTTAATAGTACAAAAATATTATGAATTGTTCATTGTATGAGACATCGTGAGATATATTGTCTTACTATTAAATCGATCTATTATATGAGACCGCATATGGGCGACTTAAGGGTTGTATGGTAAGTCTTTCGGTACAGCATTCCCTGTCAATGGGATGTTGATGGGAGGGTTTTTGTCGATTTGATCGTGTTAGAAATTTGAAAATCAAACGTAGATTCTAACATCAACTGGGGATCTACTAACCAGTGGTAACAGACAAAAAATTACTTACCGACTGGTACTTATAGAAGAAATCACGATTTAAAAGTGTTCAGATGTCTGTAGGTACGTCCACACAGATGAATTACTCGTGTATTTAAAAAGAAAAAAAAATGATTCCTGATAAATGGTAAAATCGCCTTCATTTCCTAGAGCTCCTAATCACGATAACTACTATTGTTTCTTCTAACCAGATTTACGATGAAATAAACATCTTATCACAAAAATGTAAGCTAGTAACTATCTGCCTTCAAAATTTTTTTTTTTAATTTAGAAAACAGAAATTTTACATCAAAAATTATTCCAATGATAGAAAAAGAAAATGGAGAAATTATTAGAAAACAGGAAGATATCTTAAATGAAGTAAAAAAAATTATGAAAATTTGTATTCCAATAATAGTAATATTGAAGATGTTGATTTAGATGCATATGTAGATATATATAACAATAATATTCCTAAACTAGATAGGGCAGAATCATTATCACTGGAGGGTAAAATTACTTTAGAAGAAGCCTCAAGTACTTTAAGAAATATAAACAAACAATAAAGTCCTGGATCAGATGGATTTACAGCAGAAGTTTTTAAATGGTTTTGGGGGAAAGTAAGTAATTTTGTAGTTAGATCTAATAATTATGGCTATTTGACTGGCAAATTACCTATAACTCAAAGACTGGGTATAATTACATGTCTACCAAAGGGAGATAAACCCAGGCAGTTTTTAAAGAATTGGAGGCCAAACTCTTCACTCAATATAATATACAAAATAGCATCAGGTTCAATAGCAGGTAGAGTAAAAAGAGTTTTAGACAAATTAATTAATATGGATCAGACTGGTTTTATTGCTGGGAGGTATATAGGGGAAAATACAAGGATAAATTATGATATCATGCAGTATGCAGATGAAAATGAAATTCCTGGTATGCTTTTAATTATTGATTTTGAAAAGGCTTTTGATTCTGTTAGTTGGGACTTTATAAACACAGTGTTGCTTTTTTTAATTTTGGAAATGATTTACGAAGGTGGATAAAGACTTTACACACTGAAGTTATATCTTCTATTAATCAGGGGTTGCCGTCAGGGTGACCCAATCGCGCCTTATATAGTTATTCTATGTGTAGAATAAGATTTAGGATTAATAACAATATAAAAGGCATAAATGTAGACAATGTTCCTATTTTACTATCTCAGTACGCAGACGATACTTCTATTATCTTAGATGGTACAAAAAGATCAATGAAAGAGTCTTTTTCGGAACTACATAGTTTTGCAAAAATTTCTGGATTAAAAGTAAATAACACTAAAACACAAGTTATTTGGATTGGCAGTAAAAAGTACAGTAATGACACTTACTTTCCAGAGTGGAACTTGCAATGGGGAATTACAAAGTTTACAGTCTTGGGCATTGATTTTAACGTGGACCTGCACCAAATTCCAAAATTAAACTATGACAAAAAACTAGTAAAGCTTAAGGCATTAATTAGAATATGGAATAGAAGGATTTTAACACCAATAGGAAAAATACATATAATTAAGTCTCTTTTGATATCACAGCTTAATCATCTTTTTATCTCTTTACCGCGAGGACTGTTTTATCAGAAAACTTAATACTGAACTTTATAATTTTTTATGGAATGGTAAAACAAATAAAATAAAAAGAGACTTTATTATCAAAAACTGTTTGAAGGGGGGCTCAAAATGTTACATTTACAATCTTTCATAGAATCCTTAAAACTAACTTGGATTCGAAGGTTATATACAACAGAAGGAAAATGGCAGATTTTTGTAAAAACATACGGAAATAGCTACACTATGGCTAATTGTGGTACTGACTATTTATCAAAATGTCAGAGAAACTGTAAAAACTTATTCTGGAAAGATGTGCTACTAAGTTGGGGCAAGCTAATTGAAAAGGGTGTAAACTATGGAAGCCAAAGTGGAACAAATATTCTTAAATCCCCAATTTGGTATAACAAATCAATAAAAATACAAAACAAGAGTGTTTTTTTCAGGAAATGGTATAGAAAGGGGGTAATAATAGTCAATGATATAATAAAAGAAAAAAGAAAGAAATCTTTCTACGATCATCAAGAGTTCATACAAAAATTTGGCATCCAAACAAATTTTCTTACATATCAAGGTATCATTAATTCTGTAAAAAAAAAACTCATTTTACCTGAAGATATCACTAATTTGAATGTTGACTATCCATACATCCCGATGAATTTGGAAATTTTTCTTAGACATAAAAAAGGAACTAAAGATTTCTACCATGTTCTATGTCAGAATAATACAGTATATACGGGTAGAAAGAAGTGGGAGCAAATGTTTGACTTTAATAATAATATATGGGAAAACATCTATACCATTTCCTTTAAAATTAGTAAAAATACCAAACTACAATGGCTCCAATTTAGAATCAATCAGCATATTTTAACCACAAATTCTTATCTTTATAAAATTGGTCTTGTTGACAGCCCTTATTGTTATCACTGTAAAACTGATATTGAGACTATAATTCATGCGATATGGGAATGTCAAGAGGTACAAGCATTTTTAACTGACTTTGAAGCAGTGTTAGATCTATTATTAATTCCATTTGCTTTTAATAAAGAATCCTTCATATTTGGTTTCTTTGATAGGAAAACTAATGTTGACAATTTAGTCCTACTTATTATAAAACTTTACATCTATCAGGCAAGATGTCTGCAAACTGGTCTGTCACTTTCAGCTTTGAAGAATTTAATTAAAGATACATATAACACTCAAAAATACATTGCTACAGGATATGGGGGAAATTATCTCACCAATTTTAAACAGGAATGGAGAAAATGGGAAAGACTACTTCAGACTATGTAGTGAAATTTTAAATCATTTTTGGATTATTTTCTTTTTTAACCTTGTTAGCTGAATGTATCAAAAATGAAATAAAATGATAAAGCCCCTGTCAGATCCTACCGGCACCATACTCATCCTCTCCCTCCCTCTCCTTCTTCATCTCTCTTACTGCTACTTTGCTAATTTTTCCCTTTTCTCTAAAAACGGTACACTATAACATAGCACTTACTTAAGTATCAATCTTAATGTCAGGCTTTCATTTTTTACTCTATTTACATTCCTTTGTACCTAAGCGAAAATGGCCATGTGTGAGTAGATTGTTTGATGTGTTATGTTTTCATGAATTGTTGAAAATCTTCAAAAAATAAAAAAAATTATAAAAAAAAAAAATATTTCAGTATTGAACGTTTCGGCAATCTTTTCCCGTTAAATACTATATATATTCCACGAGTATGACAAAATAAATTTTTTGTACAAATGAAAACAAAAGATATGTTCTGTCATTCGAGTTAAGTATGCTTGGTATTTAATGGAAATAAATATTTCATAACATTTTTAAAGGAAAAACAAATGAAAAAAACAAAAAAACAAAAAAAAAAAACAAAAAAAATAACAAAACAAAAACGATGTAAAATCAAACCAATGTTTAAAAAGACAACGCTATATTCAATGAGTATCGTTGATTTCTAACAACAGTTTATGCTATTATCTTGTAAGAATCAGAATAAAACATGGAAATATACTCTGGAATTATTTGACGGAAAATCAACTTATTCATTCATAGCTTCAACCCTGCAATATTGGTTCAATTATGACGTCATTAATTCCATGACTCACAAAATGTTACATCTACTAGTTCGACATACCTGCTATATTTAGAGTTCCGGTCGTAACAGACTGGACGAGGGCAGTCTTTGCTTTACTTTCACCAAAAACACGAAGGAATTCCACGTTTAACACCGACATGTTGAAAGGAAATCCGGCACAGAAGAACATGTTTAGGAAGCAAACAATCAACACAACCCACTTCCTGTGTAAAACACTTTCTCTGGAAACCATGGTTATGATGGTGATAAATGTGCAGTTTATAGACAGACGTCGTGGCGGCGATATAGGTTATGTTACTATTTCAGATGATGATTAGATGCATGTTTATATAGGTCGATCCCTATAAAGACGATATCAAACTCATTTTTAGGTCTTTGTCAGGCAATACCTGCGACGTTTTTGACACCCGATATTTCTTACTTGTAGCATATGCATACCATAAATAGCTAATTTGTTAACTATGTATCCAATTTAAATGATGGAAAGAGGGGATAGAAAAAAATGTCACATTTACGGGCCTCATTACATACACGGGAATGCGCAATCATGTTAACCTTCATACTCATATTTCTTAGATAAGTAACCTAAGCTAGAAGAATGTGTATAGGAACTACCAACTTGACCTGTGTGCATCTTCTACAGTGGTAATAGATAAGACACTACAACAACAGTTGTACAGTGTGGTACTTTAATAAGTTTGGTTTATTGTACGAAGACTAGACTAGTCCCCAGTACACACAAAGCAGTGAGATATTTACACGATCCGTTCATATCTATTTTCATACTGTTTTTACGTTATTAAGGAAGCTCAAATTAAGGGTGAGATATTTGCATATGTCTTTCCATATGACATGGCTCATTAACAACTTCTAGGTTAGGATGAAAATTAATAAAACCTTCAATGGTCAAATTTACAGGGAGATCTTTGGAAAAGTACAAGACGATTAAGATTAGGTGTTCAAGAGGGAGTGTTTGTGTCTGTTGACATGTAACACATCTGCATCAGCAGCCGACGCCTTAAAGTCATATTATCCATACTGCAACATACATCACTGATTTATAACTTATAAAGGCAAACAGTGCAGGCGAAAACGTTATACTGCTTGTATATAGATATTGATCGGAGTGTAAATCATAAATGAATAAGCATATAATGTTTCTATGAGGAAACTTAATAATAGTGCGTCATAAAATGTGTTTCCTTTAGACGATATAAGTATGGCATAAATATGGACGCAGTACTAACACACCGATGGTCGTCACGGATGAGTAGTTACTGCAGAGCTACAATACAAAACGATCTTTACACTCAATACATAAGTTTATGTCACTGAAGGTATACGTACCAACAGTGCTGAAATGCAGATAACGTGATACTATTTTTAACCATTCGGATATTTTTTATAAGTTGTGACACTAATCGTTTCTCCTTTTTTTCAATACATCTTGTCATTTTATTGTCAAAACTTTACTTTCATTATCGTTTTTACTTGGGAAATAACTGATTTGACATCACCGCTAATGGGGACTTGTCAAACTGAAAGTAGGTATTCCCTTGTAAACACCTGTAAATATGGCCGACATGAAACATTTCTTTTAAGTATTATTTTAGTGTTTAATCCTGGTAATGGACGAACTTTCAAATCATGATGACAGGCTGGCACTGGCCGAACAACTTTTAAGAATATTTTTTTTAAATATCTTTACTGTTTGAATTTTAATGAAAGTGTTGTGCCTGTATGGTCATTAATTTAAATTTTAAACCATGGTTAACAACACTGAATTGGGTCACACACCAATATAATATACATACTGAATCAGAGTTAAACACACTGGATCGGATAACACGCATATGCAATATACTCACTGCCGTTGGGCTAAACACACCAAATCGGGTCACACGCACACTGCTATAGCGGGGCTAAACACACCAAATCGTGTCACACGCACACTGCTATAGGGCTTAACACAAAAAATCGGGTCACACGCACACTGCTATAGGGCTAAACACACCAAATCGGGTCACACGCACACTGCTATAGGGCTAAACACACCAAATCGGGTCAAACAATAAGTTGTAGCCTACTGTTATTGGTCTTTAACAACAGGACAGTTTAATTGCAAAATGTTTCTCTGAAGTACTCGAACCTACAACATACATGTCAAGACAATTATAATCCATACTTAAAATTAATGAAACGAGGGAAAAGAACGAAACAGAACAACGGATATGGAGATCACTGAAACAAAAGTACATATTGAACAAGAAGAATAAAATGTCAGAGAAGGGTTAGCTTATATTAACGACATCCAACATGTCAAACTGAGGTCCACCAGGTGTCTGTCATTGAAATCATCGTAAACGCATGACTTTATGACTAACAAATGAGAATTCTTCAAAATAAACAGTTTGTGCCCAAGACATGTCATAGTCCATCTGGAATACGTCACTGATAGAAATGGTGTCATAGACACATTCTTATGGAGTTTGATGAAGTAAGTCCAGCAAGAATACGTCACTGATAGACACATTCTTATGAAATTTGAAGTGAACTTACTTTTCGAGATATATGAGCGCAGTGGAAAACAAAGCAAAATTTCTTGTTTGCAAAATCTGATGAACGTTCTTAGCGTATATCTGTATGTATATGGTATGTATGGGGATCATCCCAGTCAAGCCTCGAAAAAAGTTGGATTTTTTTTTACTGTAAACACGTCTCTAAGACACTTTTTCATCGATACATCGATTGATTCATACTTATTATATATATCGATCTTCACACTGAAAATATATGTTTATCACTGGTGGTTTACGTGCTAAATTCGCAGAAAGAGAGGTAGAGTGATACCTTTTTGTCGGTCGTATACCTAAATATAGATATTTATACTATTTATGATATTGACTGTTTCATACATCGTTCTATTATCAACAGTTAGTTTAAACATATTTTATTGCCAAAATAAATTTGAACAAGGGAATGGGGCACAAGTTATTACAACTTATTGGAGCCTTCTCCCATCATACATTTTCAAATACGTGCTTATACAGATATAGGCTTAAACATAAATTATACATATTAAGCATTCGCACACAGACATAAATACATCACTGTGTAAGAATCTTTAAAACCTTTTGCTGGATTTAATGAAATGTGTAAAGACAAAATAGTTTAGGTCCTCAGAAAGATCAATACTACCAAACAAAAGAAGCTCTAAATTCAAATCTACTTCTAATTCAGCCAGATTATGGAACAAAATGCGTCTTTCATTTCTGAAAGTTTGACACTCAAAGAAGAAGTGAAAGGCATTCTCACAAGGATGTCCACAGGAGCACACTGGATTTTCGGCTAGATTTACTCGATAAAGATCTATTTAAGGGAACTACAACTGTGTCTAAGTTTAGTATGTATTATGTTTAACTTCCGTTCACCATAACTAAAATAGATAGGTGGGGATTGTTGTGTATTTAAAGTAATTGAGGTTTTAAACAAATTTATGGAAGGTAGTGACCGTACAGAGAAATCTAACAAGTTCCAGCTACGAAGCGTAGAAGGTATAAAAGAGAGGTTTGTAAGAGAAAGCCCAAATAGAGGAACTCTATAATCATTGTTATTTCTAAGATTGTATTGGTTAGTATCTGCAACAATAGGTGGTAAGAGATCGTTTAAATAATCTGGAGTTATCTTGTTATGCATCTTAAATAAAAGTTGAAGTTTTCTTCGTTTTCGACGATTCCAAATTGTATCTAAACCAGTTTCAAAATGTAAATCTCCTATACGTGTATAAGGAGGAAGGCCAGTTATGATACGAGCAGCTTCTCTTTGGGCTTTTTCTAATTTATCCGATTCAGTATTAGTGCAACCGTCCCACAATTCACACGCATACTCTAAAAGTGGTAAAATGAAAGCTTTGTAAATTTTTAAGAGACTATTTCTATTTAACAAATATTTCAACCTTCTTAAGACATTGATTTTCTTCATAACATATATATATATGTAGCATTGATATGATCTCCCCATTTTGCACTGGAATCAAAATTTACCCCCAAGTGCCTATGATGATCAGTAAAATTCAAATCTTTCCCGTCTAACTTCAGGTCTAAATCATCATCAATGTCAATCGAATTAGAAATAAATATTACCTCAGTTTTGTCTGGATTGAAAGTAACCAACCAAGTTTTAGCCCAAAAGTTTAAAGAATCAAGATCCCTATTTAAGACAGTTTGGATTTCAAGACATGATGAGGAAGACTTTAGTAAAGAAGTATCGTCTGCAAAAAGACGAGCAGATGATTCAAGGACATCGGCAATATCATTTATGTATATAAGAAACAAAAGTGGTCCAAGAATGGAACCTTTAGGAACCCCTGCTGAGTTTGAACCTAATTGAGAATAAACACTATTTAGGAAAACTTTCTGCTGCTTATTAAATACATAGTTTTCTAGCCACGTAAATAGCTCACCACAAAGTCCGTACGATTTTAATTTTGCCATCAAACCTTTATGCAAAACACGATCGAATGCTTTAGAAATATCACAGAAGACCATACATACATGTTTTTTTCTCTTCAAGAGCAATACAAATATTGTGATAAATTTCAATGAGCTGATATACAGTAGAATGTGCATGCATAAAGCCAGACTGGTGTTTATAAAACAATGAATTTTCAACGAAATAATTATGTAGATGTTTGAAAATAACACGCTTTTTTTTTAAGACTTTTCCAACAGTAGATAGAAGAGAAATCGGTCTATAGTTAGAGGGAGAATGCCTGTCACCTTTTTTAAAAGTGGCATAACTTTTGCTACTTTCCAATTGGCTGGAAATATACCTGACGATAAAGACATGTTAAAAATAATTTCAAGTGGAATACAAACAGTTTGTGATGTATTTCTTAACATATGATGACTTATCCCATCCTCACCCGAGGCCTTTCCGAGCTTCAATATCTGTTAAACATCACGGATTTCATTTCTATTTACTCTTACAGAACTAAACGTTTTGTTGGTTTTAGACTCAACTACAGGAACTGCAGTGTTTCTATCATCGACTTGTGTAATATTACAAAAATAGTCATTTTATAAGTTAGCTTTGTCTTCATCATTAGTAACAACATTATTTTGTGAGGATCTACAAGAG